ATTTTAATCGTACATACCATGTGGTAATTAATGCTTGGCAGTACATAAGTTTATACCACGTGGTATGAAAATGTATCATAGTGTTATGAACATAGCATAGTGTAGAATAGTTGCATGCATGATGGTAGGAATATATTAACCGCCTTTCATCAACGTAGTTACCACTCTATATCATGGTGGTATATTTGTTCTTGAAAAAAAATCCATGAAATTTGTAGATATAATAGATCATGATGAACTCGTTCCTTAATGATAATTTTTTTAATTCGAGTTAAAAACGAAGGTGATACCAAGGTGGTTACGAGTGGTATGAGTTTCTAAATTTTTTTCCTCGAAATATATTAAAAATCGATATAATTTTGTATATTACAACGAACCCGTTCCATTTTTGAATTTTTTTTCAAATTCAAGTTAAAACAAAGAAAATAAAAGCCAATTAAAAATTGTGAAAATAAAAAACCTTTCATTATCATCCCTTAAATCTGATCTCATTTAAAACCAGAGGCCTAGATCTATTTATGCATTTATGCATAACCAACACCCTATCCTAGAGCAACTGCTACACCACACCTTTAAGTGTATTATATTTTCAAAAAGAAACTGAATTTAGATTTTTTAATCATACTTAACTTAAGAGTCTAAATGTCCACAATCAAGGAGTCCCTTGTGGTACTTCTTGCTATTGGAAGGCTAGAAGAAACTCAAAGGTGCGTTCCTTGTAGAGCTTCTTATTCATGTTGAATACCGAAAGACAACTTGAGCCTCCTAAATATCGGGTGCTTTTCTAGCATTTCTTCCCTTCGCTACATAGATTCTTTGTCAACCCTCCTCTCGAAATTTATCATCATGTCTTCCCTGATTTCAGTCAACCTTGTCACATATCGCAGCCACATGATGTGTGACGCGCATGGATTGAGGCAATCGACAATAACAAGAAAAAGGCAACGGGCATGAGAGAGAAAACTTTCCCATGACTTCCAGTGGACGCCAGATCATCCAGTTCAAGTCATATTAAAAAATCTTCACCTTGACGTGAATCCTCCACCTGAATCTCTTATGTACTATGGTCATTCTCTCTCATTTGCCTCAGTGCCCTTGAGTGTGGATTCATCCACTTAGGACATTCAGCAAGCCCAAGCAATGTTGGAACTTGCAATGTGGAACCGGCTTCATGAACATGTCAACAGGATTATTCGTGATCCCCACTTTCATCTCCTTAATCATCTTATCAGTTCTCAAAAATAAAACCTCACATCGATGAGCTTAGCCTTCTCATGATGGACTTGATCTTTGACCAAGCATATTGCACACAAATTGTCACTATACCACACTGCTTTATCATGATATAGACCCTGATCACTAGCCATCCCATTCAACCATATTTCCTCCCAGGTAGCTTCTGCTAGTGCCATGTACTCCACCTCTGTGGTAGACAAAGTAACCATATATGTAGAATCGGCTTTCAACCAACTACAAAACCTCCCAGAGTGAGTACATAACCATTCATAGATTTCATGGTGTTAACATCTCCAACATAATCACAATTTGAATATCCTGCAACTAAGCACTAGGTATCGCTTCCAAAACTTATTCCCGGATCCTTCATACCCTTTAGGTAATGGAAAATCCTCTTCACAGCCTGTCAATGGTCCTTCCCAGGTTGCACCATGAATATGTTGACAACACTTTGTGCAAGATCGAGCCTAGTGAAGCCCATAGCGTACATCAAACTACCTATTGCACTACAATACGTGACTTGAGACATGTACTCCTTCTCAGGTTTAAATTGTGGGGTATACTCTGGAGATAGTTGTTTTGTTGAAGCACATGGAGTATATGAGGATTTTTCAGAAGACATGCCAAACCTGGACAATATCTCTGGATGTAGCTCTTATGTGACCAGAAAAGCTTCTTTTAATCCCTTTCCTCGGCCCATACTTTAAAATGGACAATGTCCTCATTGACTAAACAAAGGAGCAATGAAGGTATAACCAAATTACCTCGAATGTCGATAAATTTTAGAAAGAGACTAAATGAGTGGGTAACATCAATTGTGTAAAACAAAACAAAGAACTAGATTAATCTCAAATAAAATAATAAAGCAGATAAATCTGGTTGTCCACTAGTACTCTGCTTGAGTATAGTCCTTGGCAAGCAGGCAAGCTTTATAGCTATCAATAATGGTGCTATCATACTTAAGGTAATTAGTATAAACGGTCACTAATCTTTGTACTTTGTACAAAACGGTCGGAAAGATCATCAGGAACCCGTTCTAACAGTCTCACACAGATATCCGACCACTCCTCATCTGGTATATCTACTATGACAGCATCATCGTCGATCGCTAGACCAGTCAGTGTCACAACGTCCTCTAAAGTGATCGTGACCTCACCACACCTGTGCAGATTGTAATTAGTATAAACGGTCACTAATCTTTGCACTTCAGTGCTTAGTTACCAACCATGTCTATCTTTCAATCTTGGACCTCCATCAAGTGAATGTCATTGATGTGTTGTTGTTATGTAAAAAATGAAAAGTACATTAAAACCAAAATTTATACCACTCTAGAAGCTTCACTTTGTTGTAAACAAAGGAAAGTTTCACTTTCGGCCACTCGACAAACTCATTAATTCCTTAAGATGTTATTAGAGTCGAATAGTGAAATTACAAAACATTTTTTTAGAGTGTATTACGATATGTAATGGTATATTTGAGTTTAATCCTATGGTAGTAAGATTGTTAAAGTTTGAACGATGAACACAAATTATGTGTACTTTTAATTTGGGGACGAATTCATCATCGACTGGACAATTAACTTGCACTGGAAAAATACAAATTCTCAGTTTGTTGAATTATACATTGATCAAATGGATAATTAGGTTGAAAGTCGACTTCATTCAATATTCATGACATATGATAATTGAATTCTACATGGTAACCGGTTGTCACCTAGTCGGGGGAAAAAAAATGTTATATGCAATATGCTTTGCAATATTTGGCTTAAACATTTAGATGTATAAAAAAAATAAAACTAATGAAATACCATGTACAACTTACGAGCTAGTTGAAAACTTTCGTAAGTTGAAGATCAGATGGTCATGAATGTGACCTTCCAACCGTTAATGAAGCCGCGACTCTTATTATCCGACATTATAATTGATCCTGATCAAGCACACACTAAGTATATAGTGATTCACCTATAAATAAGGTAAAACTTGGATATCTATCAATTTGATCATCGATATAACTTATAATTTTCTAGGCAAAATTCATTTCCATAACCATAACTTTGCACTTTGTGACAAATATAGCCAGATTCTGAGAAATACACAGAAATAGCCATTCCGTCCAATAATGTAACAGAAACCATAATGTCTGCTGACTGGACAAACGGTCACAAATGACTGCGTTTAATTTGGTTTACGTGTATGCCACGGTGGAAAATGAAATTAATTATTTTTATTAATTTAAAATTACCCTACTTTACCAAAGTTTTACCTTTTCGTATTCACTCTCCGCCCCATTCGTTCTTCTCCATCCTCTTTGCAGAAGACCCAACAGAAACCCTAAATCACCACTCTCACCTCGATTCTCTTCGCCAGTGAGTGTGAATCGACGGCGAAGAGGAAGAGTCGATTGTATCGATCTTTCTCGGCAAAGGTCGAAACTATCGATTCCGGTAAAAACCCAGAAGAACGAAGCTCGAACCCTAATCCGTTTTGGTGAGTACTCCTCGCATCTGCCTCGCCTCTGTTACTCCTTGCCCCTTGCTTTTGTTACTCTCACCTCTGTTTGCTTCACTCTCCTTTCTCCGCCACTTCCCACTCAGTTACCCTCACCAGTAGCAGCTGCTGGAATCTCCTGCCGACAAAACGCCATGGCCTGCTCAGTTACCTCCGCCACTCTTATCTCCTCCATCCCGGCCACCAAATCCATGGCCTCTCTCTTATCTAAGCTTTCCAAAACCCTAGCCCCTTTTCCCAACTCCTTTTTCGCTCCTCCGCTAACCTCTTCGACAGGAAGCGGGTGAGGTCGGTGCTTTGCCTCGCCGCTTACGAATTGGTCGGGGGGACAAATCCATGGCCATGCCCGCCGGGAGAAGGAGGGAGTGGATTGGGTGAGTTAGGGTATTTGATTCGTCACTGTGGATGTTGGTTGGCCACGCTTATGGTTGCTACGGAGCTAGTGGGTGCAGCCGGAGGATTGGCAGCGGAGAGAAGAAGAGTGGGGAAGGGATATGTCGTCGCAGGCGAAATTGCATCGTCGCAGGCGGCAAGGGGATTTGGAAAGGCCAATTGCGCTGGGGAAGGGACGAACCCCTTTGGGGCCGAATAGTTTTTTGCTAGCGTGAGAGAAGAAAGAGAGAGAGAGAGTAAATAAAATTAAAATAATTTCTTTCTTTCTAATGTATTTAATTTTAATTGTTAGTAAAATTAATTATTTTTATTAAAATGCTACGTTTTATATGATATGGCACTGACGTGGAGTCCATAATTCGGCCACCTCAGCGACGCGAACATGTAACTAACGGCGTCCCTAACGACGTCACATTTAATAACGGAAATGGCTATAATTGTCAACGCATTTTTAAATTTTTGGCTATTTTTGTGTATTTCTCAGAATCTGGCTATATTTGTCACAAAGTGCAAAGTTATGGCTATGGAAGTGAATTTTGCCAATTTTCTAACCATTTATCACCCCTAACTCTTACCGTGGAGGCATGCTGCAGTTGCCATCTCTCTCTCTCTCTCTCTCTATTTTCTTACAATCACGTGCTGGTGGAGTCCGATGTTAACGTTTCCCTTCCTTTCACCTCCTTTACTATTTCTCATTTATGAGCGACAGTGGCCCCCACGCGCCACCACCACCACCACCACCAACCATCACTCCCTTCTCTTCTCTGCCCACTTATAAGATCCCCAGCCACCACCCTTCTTTCACTTGCTCCCCCCAACAAAAAAAAAAAAGAAAACAAATCTTCTTTGTTAATCAGCCAAGTGATGGAAGAACTCATGATCTCACCCTCCTCGTCATCCTCCGCTCCCGGCCCGCCGCCACCGGCGACCCTCCAGCAGCGCCTCCAGTACCTGCTCCAGAGCCAAATCCCAGACTGGTGGGCCTACGCCATCTTCTGGCAGGCCTCCAACGACATCGAATCGGGCCGGATCTTCCTCTCCTGGGCCGACGGCCACTTCCAGGGCGCCACCCACTCTGCTCCCCCAAAACTCACCTCCTGGTCCCACCACAACAAACACCCTTCCGCCGACACCACCGGCGGCGGCTTCGACAACGACGTCACCGACGCCGAGTGGTTCTACGTCATGTCCCTCACCCGCTCCTTCGCGGCCGGGGACGGCGTCCCCGGGAAATCCCTCACCACCGGATCCCTGACGTGGCTCTCCGGGGCCCACGAGCTGCAGTACCACAACTGCGATCGGGCCAAGGAGGCCCAATTGCACGGCCTCCGGACCCTCGTCTGCATCCCGGCCCAGGGGGGAGTCATCGAGCTCGCCTCCTGCGACGTCGTCAAGGAGAATTGGGGGCTCGTCCAGCAGGTCAAGTCCCTCTTCGGGTCGGATAACAGTACCACCGGGTCGTCCAAGAATCCGACCCATCCGATGCCCCCGTTCCTCGACATGAACATCTCCTTCGCCGACATCGGGATCATCGCAGGGATCCAGGAGGACGATTACGACGACGACAACAACGACGATGATCGGAAGCGGCGGCAGATGGAGGAGAAGGAGAAAGATCAGTACTCCCGGAGCAACAACAATAACAAATTGGCGGGTCACTATATGGACTCGGAGCATTCGGATTCGGACTGTCCGTCCGTCGCCGTTAATAACGGTAACGGGAAGGTGAAGCGGGTGCCGAAGAAGAGGGGGAGGAAACCCGGTTTGGGGAGGGAGACGCCGTTAAACCACGTGGAGGCAGAGCGTCAGAGGCGGGAAAAGCTGAACCACAGGTTCTACGCGCTGCGGGCGGTGGTCCCCAACGTGTCCAGGATGGACAAGGCGTCCCTCCTATCCGACGCCGTTTCGTACATCAAGGAGCTGAAGGCTCGGATCGAGGAGCTCGAGGTGCTGGCTCCCCCGCCTCCAGCGAAGCGGGTCAAGTTGGAGTCCGCGGACAACAACAGCACCGCGGACAACCACAGCACCACCACCTCGGTGGATGGTGGTGCCGTGGATGCGCCCGCCGTGATCGCCGCGGCGGGCGCGGTCGTCGGTCCCCACCTGGAAGTGGAGGTGAAGATCGTGGGGACCGACGCGATGGTTCGGGTCCAGTCCGAAAATGCGGGCCACCCGGGGGCGAGGCTGATGAGCGCGCTGCGTGACGTGGATCTGCAGGTGCACCACGCCAGCATGTCGTGTGTCAACGAGCTGATGCTGCAGGACGCGGTGGTTCGGGTCCCCGAAGGGCTCCGGACCGAGACCCGGCTCAAGTCCGCGATTGTGGCCAGATTAGAGCTCTAAAGTATAAAAATGAGTATTATAGCAGAATATTAATTACTTTGCGTTGAACTATATTCTTATCATTTGTTATGTTTATAATTATAGCTAGTACTTGATTAGCATATTAATGTTCGTTCGTTTGTTGTAATATTAATATTATGATCAAGAGGTAATAAATCTTTCTTTTTGTAGCCGTACGATTGCTAGCTGTATTACTATTAGATCCTTCCCCTGCTATATTATTGTCGTTGAATTCTGTGCATATATGTCAATAAATTAAATAATAAGGTTGATAACGTGAAGCAGGTGGTATATACAGTTGATTCTTAATAATATAGGATTAAGTTAAATATAATTTTTAATTTTATTATTAATATATGGGTCAGGAATCAGGATCAAAGTCGTTGTAAATAGTAAGACAGTGACTTTGAAGTAACAATGGGACAGGTTCCAATATATAACCTACTACTCATGGAGTATTACAAAATTACATGTGGTTAAAGAGTGTGAGCTAAATGCATAAATGTCATCTTTGTATATGAGTAAAATTTCTTGATGTCATATTCATAAAAAAAAAATTTTATCATAATTCATGCCACTTTCGTAACATGATATTATCGTATGAGGTTTTTAGTATGCTTCAGCGAACTTGTGATTATAGATGACAACAGATTGGGTCGGGGGACGATAGTGCATATCCAGTACTCTACCCAAACTAGTTCGGGTTTTACCCATATATCCATAACCACACAAGAATTTGATAAAAAATTAAAACCAGACTCATACTCTATCAGATTTTCAATATTCATTGTTATTATTCATAACTTCAACAAACATTTAACAATTGCACGTATATTGACATTACATAACTGAGAAAGTAAAATAATAAATAACTAGAATGGAGAAACTAGTTAAGGAGAACGCAAATTCATGAAAAGATTATATATGTATAGTAAATGTCAAATATGATGAGAAAATTAATGATAATTTCTAGATAAAATAGATATACATATTTATAATTGGGCGGGTTCAGGTTGGATAGATTCCTTATGAAATTTGTGATGTGGAGAGGTTCTGGTATATTTTATAAGCTTGTTGGCCTACTTTTTTCCCCCAAGTAAAATCAAAGTACAATAGTTAGATCCTCTACCCAAAACCCCAAAGCTTGTTGGCCTACTTATTTGGGTTGTGTTTTGTTGTGTTTCTTATATGTGTTTTCTGATAAGCTTCATGCTACTTGTAGTCGTTGTCAACTAAGGACGGGATGTAGAATGAATGTGCAGCGTCGCAAGCGCGACCCCCCTTAAATCTTTCAAAATTGACAAGTGTGTTCCTTCTTTTAAAAATCAAGTCTTAATTGTATTAAACCTCTTAAATATAAAAAGTTATTGCAACGAAATGTTCATATTGACTAGAATTAGTGTTAGTATCTTGGTAAGTTGGTAACAAATGGTCTAAGACAGAATGCATAACCATAGGTTGTATAACCCTTGCACAACCATATATGAGCCCTTGATTTTAAGTGGGGTCAAATCTAAAGAGTGGGATTTAATGTCCGTTTTATTTATTTATTTTCCGACTTTGTTTAATTGTCTCTTATCTTCATTGTCTTCACTTGGATTTCAAATTTTTGTTACACAGATGAAACGAGTTCGTTGTGATCTACAAATTAACGTCAATTTTCAATATATTAGAGAAAAAAGTTGTACCACTCATGCCACTCGTTACCTGGTACCACCTTTGATTTAACTAGGATTTTGAATTTTTTTGCCCATAATAAACGAGTTTATCGTGATCTATTGGATCTACGAATTTTTCGGGGGGATTTTCATGAGCAAATAAATATATCACCACATATCATCTTGGTATAGGGTGGTAACTTATGGTAGACGGTGATGAAAATTGGTGAATAGGTCACTAGTATATTCTTAGTATTATTGTTACAACAACTCTACATTCTGTTATATTCATACCACATGGTATAATGTTATGTACTACTAAGTACTAAGCATTACAACATGGTATGACTCGTAATATATGTCTTTTTTTTTTTTGTCCATAATATATTAAAGTGAATGTGATTTTGAATATTAAAATTAATCTTATTTTCGATAAAAAAATACAACTTAAAACAAAAGAGAAACATATGATTAAATATTTAAATGATTAAGAAAAATATTAGAGATCTTCCGAAAACGATAAATTTATTAATGTTATCCTTCCCTTCCGTATGAAATAAAAAATAGTATCGTACTACAGTTATATATGATGCAGCTGATCTTTTCCTCGTAAGACCCTACTGAAGAAAAAATCGAAACAAAATCATGATCCACGGGAGATGCAAATTGAATGATATAATAGACCACAAGAGGCAATAGAATATAATATTTCGGAGGTAATTGATCATCATCAGCATAATATGATATGTTAAATGCAAAAATTTAATATTTTCATCACTATCCAAAAGATAGCCTATGTTTGGCCCGGCTTTTAGAAGTGCTTTTCGGCTTCAAAAGCTTAAGCAGGGCCAAACACCTCTAAAAGCTCGGCTTTTGAAAAGCCGAAAAGCGCTTTTGTATAACATAAAAGCAGAAGCTCCGATTTGGAGCTTCTGCGAAAAGCTGTTTTGAAAATACAAGATTATCCTTACCATATTTTAATTTTATTTCAGAAAATATAATTTTCCTTCATTTATATCATTTTAAAAATAAAATAAATTATAAAATCATATTATTTAATATAAAAGAAATCTAACAAGATCCATTTTGACTACTTTTTATTGTTTCGAATTTTTATTTATATTTTATATTATAAGTCCTTTATAGTCATTTTACACAACCGCTCATATTAAAAAGCACTTCTAATAGTTTTACAGCCAAACACTAAACTGCTTTTTTTGAAAAGTACTTATCTAAAAGCTCCAGCCAGAAGCTGCTTCTGCAAAAGCTACAGCAGGGCCAAACTAAGCTATAGTGAAGTGACCTATTTATTTATTCTTCTAATATGCTTATCAATTATTAAATTAGATATGATTGCTCATTGTTTTCACTTTTGTGTTTTTAATTTTTTTTTTTTTTTTGGCTGCAGCTGCTCCCTAGTATTCCGTCATAAAATATTTGCAGCCGGGAAAGTAACAGATCTATATGCCTTAATGGACAAAAGCTACCTAAAGGTTAACTTTCAATAAAAAAACCCTAAAAATTTGATGCCAAGCACGTTTTTAACTCCTAGTATTAGCTTATATAGCACCAAAGATGAGATAGCCTAATGGTAGTCGGTAGATTTAAAATTTTAACTACTAACATTTATTTAATACAACAATATGTTATAGAACAAAAGTAGATTCTTGTCGTCTTATTAACTGATTCGATTCTACAATGTATATATGCGAAGCTAATTTCATGCTTTGAGGTATTAATTACTTGGTTCATAAGTAGCCTAGTCTTTGTTATAGTTCTCTTTGGTTATCATTGTCCTAGTTGAGTATTGAAACTTCGATCTCGAAAAGGGTTTCGACCCACGTTTTATCCTATATATAGGTTAGCTATTGTAGTTGTTGCATGCAATCAAGTATGAAAATGTCTCATAATAAAGCGTCGACCGTTAGATATTCTGAACTTGTCGTAGATTAGTCTAGTTCAAATCTGAATGAGTATACCATGTGTTTACACCAAAATTTAACCTTATACCACATCGGTTAAATACAAGAGATTACATGGCTTTTTAAGACCAACTTAGTTATAATAATTAAGATCAATTAAGATGGGCCCACATGGATTGTGTTTTTGGGCCTATAACCCTATGCCATCATGCACGCCACTCTCTAGTCATCTGTTCCAAAAATTGATTAAGTGTTGGAGCAACCCCCATGGTATGATCAACATACCTCCCACACGATGTAGTGGTGAGGGTGATCAACACGCCCCCCCCCCCCCCCCAATGATGTGGTGGGGATGATCAACCATACCACCCGATCAACATACCGCCCTCATGGTATGATCAGGGATGTGCTTAATATATTTTTGGTTGTTAAGAAATTACCATCTAGTGATACCCCATTGATGCTACATGAGTATGGAGGGAATGATCAACCATCTATATATACCTCAGGTAGTATTGATGCTTGGGATCATCGATGCTATAGACCATCGATTATGGCTCATAGAGGCTCATACTTAATCATGTGCTAACCTAACTTCATTGTTCTTTATTAATTGGGTAGTGGTATGAAGCAAAAGCACGCATTAGCTAGTTAAATCTCTATTGCAAGAGGCGCATGCACGAGTAGAGAAGGGTCTTAGTTGAAGGGATAGAGTGATGCTATAGATGAGTTAGAGAACTCTCTCTTACTATATGGCGAGAGTGAGTTCCTCTCATGGATTTCTCTTGTGTCGAACTCCAATTCCCTTTTTATATTTACTAGAAGAGTCATTTTGACATCTTCCTAATAGTTTGGCAGTAGGGATTTCGATGAGTCCTGTTAGGATCCTTCGATGGAGGATTTCGAGGATTCAAAGAAAATTCCATAGTTAGCGGCTAGTTTAGATATATGTCAGTGACGTGCTCCGCATTGTCGATTCTCATCGTGATTCTTCGTACATGAATATCGACCAATGCTCTAGTGGATGCTATGAATGGTCTCCCAAATCGATAGAATAGTCTCTATCTCTATCCCTGTTGAGTACTACACAATTGAGATAAATCAAAGGATCCAATCTCGACCGGAATATCTTTGACCATGCCTTTAGAGAGATAAAAGCAATCACTCCAACGAACTGGTCTGCAAACATATACAAATGTTTGTTTCTTTACCTCGTTCATCATCATACTCAATCCCATCTTCGTCGTGCACGAGCACTTCCTTTTCGAGATTCATTATTTTGAAAGATAATCCTGAATACATAATAATGAAATTATTTTTTTAAATACCACTAATCACACATTTATTTTTCAGTTGTCAAAAACCAAATAAAAATTTAATAATGAAATAATTTTTTTAAATAATACTAATCAAAAATGATTTTCAGTTATAACAATAGTGAATAACCAAATACAAATTTAAGAGAAATACAAGTTTATGTTGGTAATTTAGTTATTTATCTCAAAATATTGTTGCAAAAAACATTAGTATTTTCTCCATCGAGTTTTATGATTGGACTTCTAATAATATTAAATAAAATTTTGTATGATCATATAAAATTTCTTTTTATGTCATCAACATATACTTATGTTTTGCTTATTATTTTTTTATTACAATCAATGTAGTCAAAATAGCGTTTTAAAACTTAAAATCTTACATTTTTACACTTTAAGGTCACTAAACTTTATGTTTTAAAGCATAAAAGCTTACAATTTTACACTTTTAGATAAATAAAATGCTTTTACGTAGAATCACGATTTTGACTGCATTGATTACAATTATACGAAAAAATAACCCCCCCCCCCCGCCCGATCTTCAAATCCTGGCTACGGCCCTGTTCTAGACAACGGAAAATCCTTGAATGTTAGGATAGTAGTATTATGGGTGCAATCCTCCAGCTCCTCCGCTATTGGATCATCCACTAGCTCCTCATTCGCTATCTCAACATCTGAACTCTAGTCTTAAATTGACATGCAATTTCATAGAGAGGACAGGGAGGATCGTTTCTGGCGAAACAAATCTCTCTCCGTATCAAATGACCCCAAATTATTGACAGAAAAACTTAGGTGCGAAATTTTTTTGACGGCCGAAAATCTGGGCACGAGCCAGACAGAGCAGCGCGTAACCAAACCGACACCTTTTCCCACTTTAAACGAACGACCCCCTTCGTTTCATCCTGGACCGTCGGATTCTACTCTCCCCCACTTAGCTTCATTTTGGACCGTGGGATGACTTGTAAGGATGTCCTACGAAGTGGGTGTGTTAGGGCTTAGGACCCTAATTAGTAATTAGTCCCTAACTGGATTTGTATGGAGGAGCGTCTAGTTTATAGACTTGGACTTCAATAGACTTCATTTCATTTTTTTTTTCTCTGGCCATGGTTAATTCCAACTCGAATTTGCTTCCCCGAAAGCTTCCAAAATCCAAACCAATTCTCAGACACGGAAACACGGAATGAAGAGGATAATAATGAAATGAATCATGCTACAAAATGGGACCCACCACAGAGCCACAGCATACCATACCGCCCGCCACATGCGTCCATCGCCATACCTGTCCGAAAACATCTCCTCCTTTTTTTTTTCTTTGCTCGAGTTTATCTACAAAATCCCGCAAAAAATCAGAGTCCATCAATCGAACAGTCCTTCTCTGATCTCTCCTACGCCCTTCATCTTCCCCACCATTCGAATAGCAATAATTCACTCGGCGGCAGAGTAACAAACCAGCACGATCTGCCGGCTGAGTAGTGATTTGGGTTGCCGGAACCGGGGGGGAATTCTGGTAAGAGAATGAGCATGAAGGTTCCAGCTACTAGGACGAGGGTTGGGAAGTACGAGCTGGGCAGAACCGTAGGGGAAGGCAGCTTTGCGAAAGTCAAGTTCGCCAAGAATGTAGAAACCGGCGACAGCGTCGCCATCAAGATCCTCGATCGGGAGCAAGTCCTCCGTCACAAGATGGTCGAACAGGTATACAAACAAGTCAATTCGTTCAGGACACTAGAGCCTTCAGTAGTTAAGCTAGATGGGGGTTACAGCTTCTCTCAATTTTTAACATAAAGTGATGATGTGGGTATTAATATACGAAATTAATAGAATAGAGATGCAATTGTGTTGTTTAGCGGATGGAATATAGGCTGGTTGAACTGGTCTTCAGGGATTAAGTAATTGTTATATGTAGGATTAACAAATGGGTTAGTGGCAAATTGGCAGTTGTCAATGGGTGAGTGACAAGTGGTCACTGAACTATGCAATTAGTAGTAGATTATGCTGTGATGTGGACCTAATAGATTAGATTAGTTACTGTACTAAGGTTTCCAACTATTGGCACTTCTCTCTGTTTCAAAAGTCTAAGCATCTTTAGATTTTCTTACTTTCCCATGGTGGACCATTGTTCTACCTTTACTATTTGAAGCCGAATTTCAATGTAGAATACAAGTAATGCTTTGGTGGGTCGGGGGGGAAGTGCTGTTGCTGCTGATATTTACTTGTTAGAACTTTGAAATTATGGGCAGGAGGTCTAGTTCATGAATTTGTAGGATGTGAAGTGATAATCTTTCTTGGCATTTGATTGTTTAACGTGCATATATGTTACTTGGGCAGTTAAAAAGGGAAATATCAACAATGAAGCTGATCAAACATCCAAACGTGGTCAAAATATTCGAGGTATGAAGTCTGTTTTATGATAATGATCATTGGTTTTTGTTGTGTATCAGTTACGCCCTTTTGCTACTCATTCATGTCAAAGACTGTCTTATGAAATGCTGAAGCCGGCCTAGGATAGTTCTGAATTTTCATATTTTGTTGTGCTGTAGGTTATGGCAAGCAGGTCGAAGATTTACATTGTTCTTGAGTTTGTCGATGGAGGAGAGTTGTTTGACAAAATTGTAAGGATGTTTAGCTTTCGAGCTTTACGTATATTTTGGGTCAGTTGTTCATCTGAAACGCTCCTTCGTGTTTATTTTATGCTTATATTGGCTACTTGATCATTCACAGGCCAAGCATGGAAGGCTTAAAGAGGATGAAGCTAGGAAGTATTTCCAGCAAATCATTAATGCTGTGGACTTTTGCCATAGTAGAGGAGTCTACCACAGAGACTTGAAGGTTTGCAAGTTTCTTGTCCTCTGCAATCGCTGCAAGGTCTCGCTTCTTTGTGATTCTATGTTTTTATCAGTAACAGGTATTCTGCCTCTTTTTTTTTCAGCCTGAAAACCTTCTTCTTGATAGCTTTGGTGTTCTTAAAGTTTCTGATTTTGGGTTGAGTGCATTTGCGCCACCACAAATACGGGTAAGTAATACATTTTTCCCTTGTGACCTGCAATTTTCAAGTTCACATTTCCCTCTGCATCGGCTGATGGTGCCTTCAATGTAACTGTTTTTCTTTTTCATTCTATACATGGTCTCTAAAGTCTCCGTTTCTTGCAATTATTGTCGTTGAAGTGCTTGTACCTCTTGTTATTTTGCCTCATCTCTACACAACACTCGTACGTTTTTCGTATTTCAGGGGGATGGGCTCCTTCACACAGCATGTGGAACTCCAAATTATGTTGCTCCTGAGGTTCTCAAAGACAAAGGCTACGATGGTGCGGCATCTGACGTTTGGTCATGCGGGGTCATCCTGTTCGTGCTTATGGCAGGGTACTTGCCTTTCGATGAGTCAAATCTTATGGCTTTATATCAAAAGGTGAGAAAGAATGATCAGATTCCTGGGCGCATTTCGTTGTATTTTCATAACATATCGGTGCATAATACTAGAACTACTTTCAGATCTGCAATGCTGATTTCACATTCCCGTCATGGTTTTCATCTGGCGCAAAGAAACTCATAAAGCGTATTCTTGATCCAAACCCACTTACTGTAAGCTCCTTGATCCAAGGTCAATCGAACTAGTGAACTGAAATGCTGAATTTATGTTGTGAAGTCATGCGAGCAAATTATGGTTCATCCTTTGGTGCAGCGAATCTCCATTCCTGAAATCTTAGAAGATGAATGGTTCAAGAAAGGGTTCAAGCCACCATGTTTTGAGCAGGATGAGGATGCTAATCTAGATGATGTAGATGCTGTTTTTAACAACTCTAAGGTCAGTAGTCTGCGTCTCCCCTCCTTTTCCTCGCTGTCTCGCAATATTGAGATGTGTTCGAGTTCAAAAAGAACATTTGGTGACGTGTAAAATGTTCCAGTATCGCAATACCATATGTAGCTGTGGTCTCTGCATTGAACGAAGAAGCAAATGAAAACCTGCTTTAGTTGAAATGGTAAGAATCACGAGAGAGCTCTCAGACAAAGTTGTTTATTTCTGCAGGATCGTCTTGTAACAGAAAGGAAGGAGAAACCGGAGTCTATGAATGCTTTCGAGCTAATCTCGAGGACACAAAGCTTCAGTCTCGATAAGTTGTTCGAGAAGCAAGCAGTCAAGCGAGAGACTTGTTTTGCTTCCAACAGTCCTGCGAATGAATTAATGTCCAGAATCGAGGAAGCTGCAAAGCCGCTGGGATTTAATGTGGACAAGAAAAAGTACAAGGTAAGGAATTGGTGGCACATCTAGCTCTGGAGTCTCCTCTTGCTTACCCATCTCAAACTTTTGCGTGTTTGAATTCTCGATTACAGATGAAACTGAAAGGCGAGCGAAGTGGAAGGAAGGGTCAACTCTCCATGGCTACTGAGGTAATGAGTAATCTGTTGGTGAGCTTGAGATAGCAAGTTATCATTTGCATATGTGTTCTTAAGGCTTGTGAATCAATTCTTGCGTTCTAGGTCTTTGAGGTGGCTCCCTCGTTACACATGGTGGAGCTTCGCAAACTCGGTGGTGATACACTAGAATTCCACAAGGTACGTCGAAACATATACATCTTCTGTCATCCGGGACAACTACCAAATCATTGGTTTCTTTCTCGTTTCTTCCTCGAGTTTCTGGCAAGCAGAGTACTAACTAAAGGTGCATGGCTCTTCATATGTTTGCTGCACAGTTCTATAAGAGTTTCTCGTCCGGACTAAAAGATGTGGTGTGGAAATCTGATCAAACCATTGAAGGGTTGAAGTAAAGCTCTCTGGCACCTGTTTCTGGCGGATGCGGGCCAAACTTGCAGTTGATGGGTAATTTGTGTTCTGGCCGGCGGGTCGTATCAGTTGGGCTATTTGGGTGTTCCTGTTGTATCATTAGCTTTATGATTGAATTAATAGCATTTTATGTTCTTTTACCATTCCAAGTCAACTGCGGTATCCTCAATGATTGTCATGTGATTCCTGATCTGTCCAACAAAGGTTGAATGGGTGATCCATTGGAGGTGAAAAAAATGCTTGGAAATTTCGTGTACTGCTAGACAATATATTTCGATGGCTTGTCTTCCTATCGTGCCTTAAGCGTTGGATAATAGTTACGGTGGAAGAAGTGTGTATTCGAGTCAATTTTGCGTAACCATCTGATTCTCGCATTTTATTTCCGAAATCTCTATCTTTTGAAAATATACATAGGATTATATGATCTTCCGTCAGTGAATTACCTGTTAATTCATTTTTAGAAAATGAAGTTCATGCTAGACTATCAATATACTCTATGAAAGCCAATATACTCTATGAAAGCCAGCCACTATTCACTAACACCCCCCTCAAATGAAAACCAGTCAATTCATAAGGGCTTCGTTTGTCCAGGTGTGAATACAAGAATACTATGTGCTTCACAAATGGAGATCACCAGGATTCAAATACAAGACCTTTCGGTCGCAAAAGACTCTAATACCATGTAAATGTGTTGAGAATCCAATATATTCTATTATTGAAGCTTTACATTTATACAGATTGTGAACAAACGATTGTAGCTATTGTCAAGGGAAGTGGGTAAATAAGAATGCTAAAACTAAGCAACTATAAGCTACAATAAAGCAATGGTAGAGGAAGTGGTTGCTGCCTATGCCAAATTGTAGTCTCCTTATGAGGAATTATCTTTTTTGTTATTAATCGGAACATATGTTACTAAAATGTAATCTCTCTATCAGGAATTATCTCTATGTTATTAATCCAAACATACGTTATTAAAATGTACAAAATTAAATGTTGGTGATCTTTTCGTTCAAAAAAAATAGTTTTGTGACCATTAATGATAATTACCCACAAAAAATCGGAAATGATACTAAACCACACCTATATGCGGCATGAGGAGCTAACTTTTGTTTCCCGAATCCACTCCTCGAGAGGTGAAGGGTACCGAAGCGCTCAGCACTTGAGAGCAGATTCAACGAAGAAGAAAGCGAACCAGAAAACTAAAGAAAAGTCAGTTCACAGAGCGAAAGCAAATCCTCAGCCCCTTCCCATCAAAATCCCAATTCACCCCCAAAAACACTCACTGGTACGCTGCCCCAATTCGTTTCACTTAATATTATGCTCCTTTGATTCTCGCAACTTTCCCCCAAAGTTGTCACCAAAACAATAAAAAAGCAAAACCTCTTTAAAGCTCTGCAACTGTTGTATCAATGGATCGTTTCCCAGCAGTTTCCACTCCGTTCGTGTGCGATCTTCTTATTGTAAGTATTTTTTTTGAAACTTAGGGTTCCTGGGGTTCTTTTTGATTCCGTAGTTTCATTAGATTTATCTTTGTTGGGTTTCTGAATTAAGCGGTTATTTCTGGGTTGTGTTGGATTGAGTAAACAAGACCGTCTTCCCTTGGATGACTTGGGTTTTGCTCAGTGGTGGGTTTCATTTGTTATTCTGGCTAGGCTTCGGCGAAGTTGAAGCTCGCTTCTAGGTTTATAATCCGTCGCCCTTCGAGACCGTAGCTGTTTTTCTGTAACTTTAATGGATTTTGGGAATCTCCGGGCTATTACTCGATGGTCGATGCCAGTGTCTGATGTTTGCCACCTGCTTCCCTATGCATGCAACTCGCATAAGATTCACTTTGGCTTGTCTCTTTCTTGCTCCCTCGTAGATGGATTGAACTTAAGCAGGGGAAAGTCGGTTCCTTTAGGTTCTATCTGGGATCAGCCCACTTTTGTTCTATACCTTACAAGGCCTGCCGAGTGGGTTTTATTTTACATTCTATGAACTATAATGCTTATGGGTCGTTCTGTCCTTGATATCCATTTATACCTGCTTCCCTATGTGCCACTTACAAGCTATTGGTTAATGAGAAATCAATTAATCTTGAGGACATTGAACTGCAGTGGTGGTTGGACGATAAGACGTGAGGCTTGAACATGAGAGAAGGCACTGAAGTTGATGAGAGAGTTGATTTTGAAGAAGAAAACTACATGGAAGAGATGGATGATGATGCTGAAGATCATCTAGAAGATGGGGAAGATGAGCCTGCAAATGCCCATGCTAATGACAACGTCAACGTTGATGAGGATGATGAGGAGGATTCAAAGGATGAGGCTAGCCGGAAAGAGCAGCAACAGGATGAGGATGAGGATGAAGAAGTGGATGCTCGTGATGCTGAACCTGTGGCAGAGGAAGAGCAAGAGGAAGAGAAGCAAACCTCTTCAATCAACGAGGAGGAACTTGAGAAGCATGCTCAACTTCTCGCTCTTCCTCCCCATGGTTCTCAAGTTTTCATCGGAGGGCTTCCAAAGGACGTGCTAGAAGATGATTTGCAGGAGCTTTGTGAACCAGTTGGTGAAACTTTTGAGGTCATAGTTATTCTGGTGTCTTCTTGTGAGTTGCTAATTGCTGTTTCATTTCATCCTTATTTCAATTTACATGTCAATTATTTTGCAGATAAGGTTGGTGAAGGATAAAGATACTAGTGAGAGCAAGGGTTTTGCCTTTGTATCTTTCAGATCAAAGGAGGTGGCTCAGAAGGCTATTGATGAGTTACATAATAAAGAATTCAGGGTAATTGTGAATTGTTTCTGCCTGTTGATTCTTTTGTGGACCATACGCATGTTTCATGCTACATTGATTATGTGACTGTTTTGCAGGGGAAAACCTTAAGGTGCTCTCTATCTGAAACCAAAAATAGGCTATTTATTGGAAATATCCCCAAGATCTTAACAGAGGAGCAGTTTAGGAAAGTAATTGAGGAAGTTGGCCCTGGTGTGGAAACCATTGAACTCATAAAGGTCAGCTTTTTGGGTTCACACATCCTCCTCCTCGGACTATATTTGAGTATGATATCTAATTCATTACTAATTCAACTTCCTTTATCGGATTGCAGGATCCTCAAAATCCTAGTCGTAACCGTGGATTTGCTTTTATATTATACTTTAACAATGCATGTGCTGATTATTCAAGGCAAAAAATGTTAAGCCCGGATTTCAAGCTTGATGGAAATACCCCTACTGTTAGCTGGGCTGATCCGAAGGGAAATCCTGATCAATCTGCTGCTGCTTCCCAGGTACTACAATAGATTTCTTTTTAATGCTATGGATTCCGCTTGTCCAATAATCTTACCCTAGCAGACAGCATGCATATTTGAGCCTCTTATATAACTGATTTGTTAATCACGGAAGATATTATCTCTTTGCGTTTAAGATCTGCTAATGGCACCAGCTGCTCCCATTTGAAGAGATGGCCCTCTTATAAGTCTCTTTAAGTTCAGCCTTAAGCTTTGCATCTAGCATTGGTATAGTTCATTTTGGGAATTGGGTCATTAAAGTCTTGGCTTTTAATTGTGGGCTGATAGCAAGGTGCTACTGTTGGTAGGATTGAGCTTCCAGATTAGAGATTTTTTACTCCTGTTAAAGCCGCTTTTGTTTTGCTGAACTCTTTATCATCCATCTTTCAGGACCACCAACAGTGGATTTGCTTCCTACAGATTTTACTTTATTAGTTCTCTGATTCCTGAAAAATATTTATGTAGTAATCAATATCTTGAAACTTGCATTATTCTAGCTCTAGCTTATGCATATCTTATCGTAGGTTAAGGCCCTCTATGTGAAGAACATTCCCGAAAATACTACCACTGAGAAACTGAAGGAAATATTCATGCGGCATGGAGAAGTGACGAAAGTTGTTATGCCGCCTGGGAAAGCTGGAAAGCGAGATTTTGGCTTCATCCACTTTGCTGAAAGGTCAAGTGCATTGAAAGCAGTCAAAGATACAGAGAAGTACGAAATTGATGGTAATTCTCTTGCATGAACTGTGTTACTACACCACTTATGACCCTTTTTCGTGAGGAACTTCGGGTAAACGAGGGATACAGTTGTCCTGGTGGGGAAATCTTGACTATGCTACTTGCCCAACTTGCTGTCTAATTTTCTTGAGAGGAACTAAATTGACAAGACTACACACTGCTGTGGCCTGTTATCATCAGCATTGATTTTGACTATAATTTTTTTTGCTAATACATGCTGAAGGACAATCAAGTAAAACCATTAAGTAAGTTGACAAACATGGGTGGAAGATGCAGTCCTGGTTTCTCGAATCTTCCTTTCCTTCACATAGCACATTCTATTGATCATCAGGTGTTTGATATTGGAAAATCTTGGCTGCAGTTGTTTAAAATTTAAATGCATAAGCGTCTCTAAACATTAAAGACCTGATGATCTATTGCATATACAGTTTGCTGAAACATATAAATAGTTCATATGAATCTGTGGTCTCTCTGCTTATTCTTTGTCCTCACATGAGAGGAAAGGTAGAGAACTTTGAGTAGTTTGATGTCAGGTAATGTTACAAACAGGAGTACTATTAGTTATTTAAAACTGATTGTACGGATGAATTCTGATGAGTTGCAGGCCAAGCATTAGAGGTTGTCCTAGCTAAGCCTCAGGCTGATAAAAGATCTGATGGAGCATATATGTATGGTGCTGGTCTTCCTCCAACCCATGTTCCATCTGCATCTTATGGTGCGTTTGCTGGGAATCCGTATGGGTCCATGGGTGGTACTGGATATGGTGCAGCCCCCAGTATTCAACAGGTAGTTAGAAATTTGCTCTCAAGTTCAATCTTGTTTGGCCGGCCTCTTCTTTTTCACCTGGAAATAAAAAATATTGGGTTTTCTTTTGACAGCCTGTTATATACGGCAGAGGTCCAATGCCTACTGGGATGCAAATGGTGCCTATGTTACTCCCCGATGGTCGAATTGGTTACGTTCTGTAAGTTGTGTTCGCCTGTTGGATCGTTATTTTTATTTTGTAGGTTGTGCACATGCGATGGATATCTGTCTGAACATTAATCGTTGTGTGGTTGGTCGTGCAGTCAGCAGCCGGGAATGCAAGTACCACAGCCACCGCGGCCACCTCGGAGAGGTGATCGGGGGAACAGTGGTGGTGCAAGTGGACCGTCACGTGGTGGGGGTAACGACGATGATGGCAGTCGTGGTGGTGGCAGAAGATACCGGCCATACTAGTTAGTGGTGGAAAAGGACTTCGGGAGTTTATGTTTGTTAGGATGGATTTCAGGGAATGAAAGACTTGATGTAGTTAGATGGCTCTGCTTCAGTGACCCGATGGAATAACGAAAGCCAGCATCCCCCCTCTTTCCTTTTATTTTCCATTTGCTCCGCAGCCTTGAGATATAACTATCCCTGCGTCTTATCTTATGGTGGTGGAGGCGGTAAAGGAAAGGAGGATGAAAGAAGGGACTTGGAACAAGTTTTGAGAGAAGTAATTGCCTTCTTTCTTGCTTCGCTCTTGTTATTGAAGGGCACAACACAAAACAGAACAATAAGTTTATGACTTAATCTGTCTGTGGTGTGGTGTAAATATTTGATTCCGTTCCATTGCGAACTCTGTTTGCTGTGCTGTGCGCCTGTTGCTATGTATTCTGAGAAGGAAATGCAGCATCTTGCTCTCTCATGTTCGGTTATAGTGGTGGCTCCTGAGTCCTGAATCACTTATTGAGCAGGGTTCTATGGTGCCAAAGCAGGGTTCTTAGGATGATCTCATAGGTCCTACGGGGTGGAGATTATGAGGACGGTCCATCCATGAATTTTCCTTTCTCCAGTTTTCATATATAGAATTAAGGTGGATGATCTATTACTTAACCAGACTGTGAGAGATCGAATGCTTTCATCTTTTTGATCATATCACGAGAATTCCCACATCCATCGATCAATCACGTGAGTGCGCATCTACTATCTAGCCATAACGAACGAAAAAAGCGTTCGTCTCGTGCCCAAAACAGTTACTATTATTGGGTTGTTATTCAATCTTCGGTTCCGGTCAAACCCAAAGCTAGACAGTATACTCAGTTCGGTTGCAAACGCATATCGGATGTAACACACTCTTGTCTGAATGACGGGTGTAGGAAAGAGTAAAAATCATACACGATTACACGGTTCGGATTCACACTACAAACCATCATCTCCGCTTGTCATATTCTCAATTCCGTCCAACCTAAAATTCAATACCCTTGTATTCTCGCTCTCTTTGATGATATGGCATGAAACTCGTATAAAAATACTAGTAAAGGGATATAAAGTGCACATTCACATGTTTATGAAGCAAATCCATAATGAAACTGGCTAAAGAAATATCGAAACGATGTCAATCATGCCAATAAAACACACATTCAAATGTTTATGGAGCATATCCATAATGAATGTGGCTAAGCAAAAATAGTATAAAGTGATATAAAGATACTACTAAAGGGATATAAAGTGAACATTCACATGTTTATGAAGCAAATCCATAATGAAACTGGCTAAAGAAATATCGAAATGATGTGAATCATGCCAACAAAACGCACATTCAAATGTTTATGGAGCATATCCATAATGAATGTGGCTAAGCAAAAATAGTGTAATTTAAGCATTATCAAGCTACCTCGCGATTTGGGGTATATGAGTTTCTCCAATAGCCATTGTTGCAATTCATATGGATGGCTTTCTTTATCATTTTTCTTGATTGATCCCCATTCAAATGTTTATGGAGCATATCCATAATGAATGTGGCTAAGCAAAAATAGTATAATTTAAGCATTATCAAGCTACCTCGCGATTTGGGGTATATGAGTTTCTCCTATACCCATTGTTGCAATTCATATCTAATCGTGGGGGACTTTCTTTATCATTTTTCTTGATTGATCCCCATCATCAAGTGTCGAACCCGGGTGCTCAATTAGTACAATATTGTCCGCTTTGGGCCAAACCCACACTGTTTTACTCTTGGATGTCCTCCCCAAAAGGCCTCGTAGTAGTTTGGCTAGGTGAACAATACAAGGGTTCCTTCCCTTGTATAACCGATGTGGTACTTGGATTGTACCCTAACATCAAGAAAAACCTATGACATTGGTAGATCTCCTTGGGTGTCCTCACCAGTGGCGGATACATGCATGGTTAGGGGTGTCCCGGGACACCCCTAAAATTTGGAAACACGATTATTCAACCTACGATAGTAATTTGCGTATGAGAAAAAAAATATTTAAGTGGTAGTGGGACACCTTTAAAATTCGGGAAAATGATTATCCAATCTCCCGTAGTAGTTTGAGTATTGGTATAAATAATATTTAAGTAGTAGTTTATGTGATTTAAATTTGGGACACTGCCACTATTAGTTAATATATTTTCAATTACGCTACAACTCATTTGTTATTGTGTTTTAGATCCAAATATAATAGTAAAATATTATTCTTATCTCAAATTATTTTCAAAACCTAACGATTAAACTCAATTACGGGATATCCTAGTCTAGTAAGATATGTCGAGAGATATTTGTTGAGCAGTATAAACACCGAATGCATTTTATCATTTGATGAAACACGTCTGAACTTTTAATGAAACTTTATTAGTTAGATATTTTCATATTTAATAATTATTTAATTTAATTCTATATTTAATATAATTTTTTATAGAGGACACCCCTACGTAGAATTTCTGGATCCGCCACTGGTCCTCACCAAGCTCCAACGATAAGGTCACCAATGAAGGATGTTTCTGTGTGTGTTATTTTGTTTGGTGTACTTGAATTTTGTTTTTTGAAATGGAAAGAGTTGGACTGTGTTTGTATTTAATAAGATCATTTTAATGAGATTTAAGATCAAGAGCCATTTTGATTACGATTCCAAACATTTCATAATTTTAAGTAGTGAAAGTGAAAGCTGATAGAAGAACACTGTAGATGACAAGATCATTTGTTAAAGCTGAGAGAAGTATACTGTAGATGACAAGAAGATGGATAAATACTTGCCATTCGCAATGATCGAAATTATTGATTTCAGGGAAGGATGATAAGACGTAGGGGGGAGAGAAATCAGCACATGTGCTGCAGTCTCATAATTGACGCAAAGCTGCAAACCTTCTTTTCGTGTCTCTCTCAAGCTCACGCACTCACATGGGAATGGGGATAAAGCAGCGTTTATAAAGGCCAAGGAAAGCTGCAGTGCCGCTGCTTTTTCTTTCTCATATCGGTCGCTGGACAACCTCTGCTAGCGTATGAGTGCAGCTAAGATCATTTTACTCCTGTAATGGATTAGCCATTCTATGGATACAGTACTATTTATTTGCCTAACTTTTCTTTTATTCTAAAATATTAGTTAAATCTATGAGCGTTAACAATTCTGTTAGTAATGCTGATTAGGAATAACTATGTTGAGTTGGAGGACACGTAGCGATCAACATTTCAACATCTATCACCCAGCTTCGCTTCTTCCCCATTTTCGATCGATTTGTCTATGTCCTGGACCGCCACAAGTGGTTTCCTCCTTCCTCCGCCACCATCGATGCAAATGCTATTGTTGCAACTGTTGTTGATGACACTCTATTTATAATGTTTATCACTCACAAATCTGATACTTTATCCCCTTCTATCAATGCATCTTTAGTACTTTCTCTTATATTTCATATCTAAACCGTAACTATTTGATCAATGAACAATTAATTGACCTAGGATGTGTTTTGTACTCTTTGATGCCTTCTTGATATGTCCATTTATGGTTTTCAAGGTACAAGACGACTTAGCACGCGGGATTGGGATCAAGCATTGCATAACTCTGGAGGATCAAAAGAGTTATGAAGAGAAGAATATGGAGCTTTCATGATAAAGACGAGGTCAATGATGGAGAAGCCTACTAGTAACTATACAAGTAAAGACCAAGAGAATCTCAATATAGGAAGACTCGACCCAAGCAGGAGTAAGAACCAGTGATGACCCAGCAACGGGTCCAACCGCCGCTCAGTCAGACCTAGACAAGACGCAAAGAATCTCCATGAGAGGTTTCTTGTGGAAAGATAAGTCCAGCCCAAGGAGAAAAGTGGCATCAGTGCCAACCGCCGCCCAGCTGCCGCTCATAGGCTCAAGCCCAAATGGAAGATCTTTAACCCTTGCTTCGGTCCCAAGTTAAAGAAACCTTGTCCTAGTAGGTTTAAGAGAGTCTTGAATGAGTTATACCACTATAAATAGAGGGCTAGACTCATTAGTTGAGTAGACTGCACAAATTCACCCAAAACGCCTGTAAACCCTATGCTAGAGTGAGAGCTTAGCATTTGTAAGAGAAGGTGCAAGTGCAACTTAGGATATGTCTTCATCATCGATGGTGGTACCCTCATCCTCTTCTATGTTTAGCTAGTTCGAAATAGATTGTATGAGAATGTGAACTCGTTTATCTTTGTGTATATTGATGCTAAAATTTCATATTTTGCTTGTGTTGATGCTTGTGATTTTTATGTCCTACGTGTATTGTGTATACATTGATGATTTATGTTTCGATGCATATATCTTTGTTACCACTAGAGCGACAAGGTTTCCCCTTTTTGTATATTAAATTTGTCCTTCCTTATCGTTGTGATTTCAAGAATTAACGGATTAAATGGAATAAAATATTTTTAGTGAACAAATATAAAACTTTTTTATAATTTTAATAACAATTTTACCGAACCTAAACCAAGAATTTTATATATCACAATTTGTCAGCGTTAGAAAAAGTTGGAAGCCTAATAGTCAAGGAAATCACAAATAAATTTTGGATAAGCTATTCCCTATTGACATGTATTTATGACCAACTGGTAAAAACGAACCAACCATAAGTTAGATGCTAATTGCAAACAAATGTTCCCAAGCAAAAATCGAAAAGAACCCTAAACGTGTTAATTCTCCAACGGGCATTCCATGAACCGACCCAGGTCAATCCACTACGTCACCCTAACCACCGCCTGAAATTGCCTGCGGACCAAGGGGAAACCTCGCCGCCGCCGCCGTACCCAATCACACTCTCCGTACAGCAAGACGAGTAGTTCGATTGCTGCTCCAATCCGCCGAGATACGCGCTGCTACTCACGCTCTTAAAGCTCGGGCTTCTCAATGGACACTGCCCCAACCCGCCGGAAGTCACGTAAGGATCCGGGACCGGGAACGAAAGCCGCTTCTTCGCACACCCGCCGTCCCGCTCCGGCGTCGAAGGTCTCTGCCTTGGCGCGCTCCTCGCCCTCGCTGATTCCGTTGCCGCCATGTAATTCGGGAGCGGCCCAACAACGGCGGAGGAATTCGAACTCCTTATCAATCCGCGTTGAATGTTCAACAAATTGCCGCCTGTGTAGCGGTAATTGGATCTCAGGCTGGGAGTCCGGGAGGAATCGCAGCTTGATCTGTAATCTTCTTCTCTCAAGCACGACGATCTGGGGCTCGCCGACCGGACTTGGACCGGCCTGGTTCGCGACGGAGATGGCGTGTTCGCGACGGGAGTTCGATGGTGAAACGGCTGCGTTTGGTGGGATCGGTGGATCGGCGAGCTGGATCTTTGGTGGGTTTGGTTCGACGGTCTCCTGGTAAGCGATGACATGTCCATTTCTACGGTCTTGATTGGATCTCTATGGTCAGTTGATGCTCTGGCTCCTCTACTGCTTCTGCTGCTATTCCATGGCTTTGCCGCCTGGAGCTCTGCTTCACTTCCTACTGATGATGAACTCCTAACATTCCTCCATGTCTTCGCCTACCAAATTCCCCAACAATCGAGGCATTAAATTAGCTTCATAGCAGGAATTGGATCTGTAAATAAACCCTAAAAAAAACTCGAAACGAACCTGGTGAGACAAGTTCCTCTGGCGATTCAAAGCAGCATCGTCTTTCCTAAGCTGAAGCATTGCATTCACTTCCTCAATCGTGTGCAGCCGCTCATCCCAATCACCGGAAATGCTGCTGCTTCTTCTTTCTCTCGACTGCTGCTTTAATTCAATTTTGATGAGATCGTGGAAGGAAATGACAATGGCGATGAGGAAGACGTGTTAGATGTGATGTAACACATACCAGGGATTTCCGGTCAGAGAGGTCTTGCAAGTATCGCAATTCGATAAGGCTAGTGGCGTCTCTGAAAGTGGATTTTCGGCTGTGGGGAAGCCGCTGCTGCTGCATCCTCCGTTGATCGAGGATTCGAGCTTGGGCTCGAACCAGAGCTTGCATGCATCGCAGTGTCATCTTTGCTTGCTTCCGCACATTGTGTCCCCTAACGAGTGCTTGCAACTTCACCAGCCCCTTCAGCGCTCTCAATGCCCTCCTCGCCTTCAATCAGCAACAACACCAATCTCATGATGAGACTTCCGGCCCAACATGGAAGACGAAATCAGGAAGAAAAAATGAAATGGGAAATATGGGGTTGTTATTAACTGCCTACCAGATATCCTCTAAAACAGGTTTGAATGACAATGGCAGCATAGTGCTCCCTGGCGTGGTAATTAGGCCTAGCAAGACTGGTGACTGCTGTGGCTGCGGCGGCCACCGCGACAGCATGCCTCTGCTCAGCTGCCGGGGCAGAGGAGTGGTCGGCGGATGGAGGCGTGGGCTTCTGTTGGATTGATGGTGCAGTTTCTTGGCTCGTGGGTTTCCTGAATATCCATCTCCGCTTCTCTCGTTTCTGCACGAAATGAGCGGGGGAGGCATTTGAAAACCAATGGAAGATCCAACCAAAAAGAAAGAAAGAAGATGGAAACAGAACAGACCTTTTCTTCATCGTCGACGTCTTGGTCACGGTGTTCGCCTCTTCTCCGGCTGGTTCGCTTATCGGTAGATTCCTTAGTGGGAGATCTGAAAGCCCTTTTCACCGCAGTCAACCAGGAGGAAGTGGTGGTGCCTCCCTTCTTCCCCATCAAGAACAGGAGCTATGTTCTTCTTTTTGGTTCTGTTTTGAAATGCTTTTGACAGCAGGGCGAGCCAGAAGCAGAGGGGGTGATGAATTTAACTGATAGAGCGAGAGACTGAATTTTTATCGGTCAAACTCCCTTATGATGGCGAGGCTTTGTTCTTTTTTTGGTGGGTTAAGGAATTAGCATTGCTTGGAAATGGGAATGGGAAAGGGAATGGGAATGGAAATGGATGGAGGACAAGAAGTGCCCGCAGGTCCAGACTATTACCTTTCTATTTCACAACTCACATGAGTGGACTATTGGCTGCAGTTTTTTTCTATCCAATTGGTTGGCGGTATGAGTTTCCTTTATCATTTATTTATTTATTTGAGTAAAACTAGTTGTCGACACAAAATTCTTCAGCACTCTTCAGCACCGAGGTCAACTCGCTTAACCGGATGGAATTAGGTCGAATACCCACTGATTTGGGTTAAAATTGGGTTGAATTGTCATAAGAAAATTAATTAGAAATTTAATGGCACAAAAACACCTCCAAACTTTGGTTAATGACAAAAAGAGCACCCCTTGTGATGTGCATCTATGAAATAGTGATTTTGTTACTTGTTCTTTTAATACATGTCGTGAGAATGTGAAGACATATACGAATTTTTTTTATAATTTAAAGCATTACTCAAACAATAATTTCTGAAAAAGTTAAAGGTATAATATGTCCATCTACTATACATGTTCATCATACATTCTCCTATGTACTTTGAAAAAATTATCAACATCCCCTTCTGTTAAAATTTTCATCAAAGAAGGGTTTATTACTCACTTAAAATCATTGGCTCCTACTTATGTTTTTTGGGTACAACCTTCGACTTTACGTAAGTAAAGAATGCGACTTTATGTAAGTAAAGAATGCAACTTGATAAAGGAATTGAAACTAAGTTGGATTTTTGCAACGAATCTCTAATATTTATGTTGTAGCCTCAACTCAATACCCTTAACCACATACCTTAATTGGTAAACTTCAGACATGTGCACTGAGCAAGATAACACCTAAATCATACACTTCTTATCCCATTACTTAGGCATATGTGTGCTACAACCATCGTATTTAGGTCACAATGTGATCTAGTTTATGCTAATATGATTTGATAGTTAGAAGCTATGAGCTTTGGGACGAGTTAGGTCACTTTTAGCACTTTTCATAGGGAAACCATCCTATTTTTGCCATATTTTTGTCAAGAACCAGTTGATCCCAATAACTCGAGTTGTTGGGAGAAGGTTCTGCTGGATCTTATACCACACTCTTACACGCCCCCTCAAACGAAAGCCAACCCAAGGGCTTGAAGTTTGCACAGGCCCACCATACCATGTGCTTGAAAGACAACGGTTAATATTGGGGGTCGTGGAGATTCGAACACATGACCTTTTGGTTCCAGGCTCTGATACCATGTCAAGAACCAGTTGATCCCAATAACTCGAGTTGTTGGGAGAAGGTTCTGCTGGATCTTATACCACACTCTTACAATTTTATGCTTGTATGGTGTTTTTATACGATATTCCACAGACAAAATCATTAAGTTCACGCCCACAAACATTTCTCGGGCCAAGGCCTCTATCTCGCGGTCTGGCTTGTTGTGCCCGCGAGTCGAACCGTGAGACCTATTGGGCTCATTGTTGATTGTGTTTCTTGTTCTGAAGTGGAGTTCATGGTCGTAAAATGGGAGGTCATGACCTGAACATTGGTTGTGAAGTTGGCCACGAGTTGTGCCAAATCTTAGGATACGAAGCAAGTATAGCATGCAATCAACCCAAAATAATCGAAGTATGATGATTATTACATTCAAACACCTAAAAAATAGGAGGTAAATAACACTTAGGTGTTATCATGTACATATATAATAAAAAATTATATTTTGCAAATCACAATGAACCATGAAAATAAGGACACACATGTCGATTAAAAAGAAATAGAAAATTTTAAAAATTATGCAATCACATTTATCATATAAAAAAATTGATCTAATTATACAAGTTATCTCCAACCAACCCTATATCCCTATAATCTGATCGAGAATACAGCCAATATCCTGAAAAGTTCCAATCAAAACGTTATTTTAGCCACCCACATACCCCAAAAAAATGAGAAAAAGGATTCAAGGATCCAACAAAGTGAAAAAAAGTAGGGAGCCAGACAAATCAAAACCAACGTTTTTTCACCGATTTCTCATCGTCTCTGCTTCTCCGTCTATAATTTTTTCCAACTCTAGAAAGCTAATGAAAATGCCCTCTCCTCTAAGAGTATTGAAACGGCTACGAGACGACCAAGGCTGGTTCTCTAACTACAAACAAGCCAGCCAGCCAGCCACAACATCGATGATCACAACATCTGTATTATATAATACACATCCATCCACATTTGCAGTTGGCGGCAATCAAAATTACTATATGCCTGCAAGCTTCATGTTTCTTGATACTGTTGCACTCGAAATATTCGGAACAGGAATTCCTGAAAGCGGGATGAATAGTTCCTAGGATTCACAGCCGACATGGACTGCGAATCTTTCCATATCGACTTGAATCCATGCTCGATATGCTTCACCATGCCGTAGTTCTGAAATATGTCGACAATGGCGAAGTAGAGCACCACCTCGCTGTGACCTGGATCCAGAAGCCCTTCATGTTCCGGTGTCGAATGAACTGGGCGTGCTGACATCCCTGTACCCAGTTTGATCTCTTGCCTAGATCGGCGACAATGAAAATAACACATGATTAGTACTATTATATACCTTGTGCATGCCTCGGGCGCGGAGGGTAATAACCAAGATCATTTCATTACCTCTCCGGCATGTCCACTTGAAAGTCTGCAAAATTAAGCTCATAATCCTCCAGGCTGTCACCGTTGGAGCTTAGACCGTCAGTCGAAACCACAGATTTGCCATCCAACGAATGCGTAGGAGAGGAGCAATTCGAGGCAGGTTTCTTGTAGGGCAGGCTACCACAATGTATGGTACCTGTCAATTTGTCATTACATTGTTTGATCAAAGGGCTACATGACTGGTGCTGCTCTCTAACAGCAGCACTCTCTATGCTTTCCAGGATGATAAGAAAAAATTGCATTAGGCTGAAGAAGAAATTACCCTGGCAAGAGTCTTTCAGCGGAACTCCAAGACAAAGACTGTAATCCATTACACCCTCTGTCTCAAGAAACTCACAATCACTCTTGATTTGCCTAGACAAACAACAAACGAGAGATCAATTGCTTTCTTATCACCATAACTATCACTATTCATGGCATAGAAAGGCCGGACCAAGGTAAAGTGGGAACTGAAGAACCATGCTAGGAGGCTAGGTCTCATTCAATCAATACTCACGGATGGTTTAGGTTTTTCGCTTTGTAACATAATACTAGATATGGACTTACGATAAGAGTCTTTCATGGACGTATGGATCCAAGTAGAAACTGAAGTCAAAATCTGGATCCTTGTAGATAACATTCCCATAAAGTCTAGTCTTTTTGACAGGTCGGCCTCTTGATGATCCCTTGAGATCATACACTCTATACATGTTGACGTTGGACGGGATAATATTCTGCAATACGCCAAAGTACACCTGTATAAATGGCCATCTTTAGTTAGAGCATCTTATGGTGGGGAAAGGGAAGAAGGAATCAACATATGCACGAATCAACTTGATTACTCTTTTACCTTGCTACCACCTGCAATTGGTTTCACAACATGAACACCATACAGCGCGCTTAATAAGGAAGCTGGGTTCCTTTTCAGATGGAAGTAGTAGCTTGGGAGCATTTGAATGATTGCCTTGGACAAGGAACAACAAAGAAAACAATCAATATCAGTGACCATAAAGCTAACGAATCAAGAAGCACTGCAGAAAATGAGTTTCTGCAGTGAATATCTCATACCTTAACCTCAGATTTCCGCAAGGTCTTTATGAAAAAGCGGTCATCCCTTGGCAGAGGACCCAAGCAACCAGTTTTCTTCGATGAAATGATCTCCTTCAACGTCTGATCCGTGAAAACAGATTGCATGTATTCATAATTGTCCACATTTTTCAGATCCTGTATGCGTCTGCCCACGTTCATGAAAACAAGAATTGGATATCAGACTCTACATACAAGTTGTGTTCTTCGTTCAATCAGCAGCCAAGAAATCGGGTTGATCAAATAACGAATAACAATCAAAACGAAAAAGCAAGGAGAATTAGGAAACAACCTGAAAACTTCAGAGCAATAATCTTTGAGCTCAAACTCATTACTTGTACCAAAGCGAGGGAGACGCTTATTATCCTGCTTAGCGTACTGGGTTTTGTGCTGTCTCATATCTCTCAGGCCAAACAATGCTCTGCCTATATCTCTCCTTCGCCATCCATGGCCGCCCCCGAAAAGCCTGATCCATGAAAAGAAGCCAAAAGTCCAAAATCAATTCCATCGAAGACAAATAACACAGGCGACGAGAAAACAAGGTTCCAGTATTTTTAGGATCTAGGGTTGAAACAGATAGCAAGAAAACAAGGTCCCAAATCAATTCGGATCTAGGGTTAAAGCAGAAGAGGGGACAGTTCACCTTGAACGGAACCTTGAGGCGTGCTTTATAAATTGGAGAATATGGCAAAGCCAGAACAGATTGGTAATGGCGATCAAGAGCTTTGCATTGCGATATTCTCCAAGGAGGCGTGGCTGGGCTTTCTCTACGTCGTCCGGCGGCGATCGGAAGAATGCGGATGATTTCCCGGGGACGCGAGAAAGAGCGGAGCAGCTACAGCTGCACGCATTTCTGTGATATTTTTGGCTATTTTTCCCCCAACTATTCCCTCTCTGGTTTCTATCTCTTCTTCTTTCTTGGCTCCGGTTGTATTGTGATTGGGAAAGGTAAAATCGGTAAACAGTACACACACCTGGATTGTTGTTTCTTTCTGAAAAGAAGATAAACAATTTTACATATTTTCTCTTTTCAACGTTGAAGCTTTCATATTTCGCGCCACTTTCAGTTATGTAACAATGGAATCCGGTCACCAGGTTCCGTTGAGGTTATTTTGGGTCAGAAATGCCTCTCAGACTCAGACGGCAAAGTTCAGGTGCATGACTTATATTTATATGGCAATTTTAATTAAATCATAAGATATTGGGTTATAACAATAACCGATATTTAATTACTCTTTTAATATTCTTATTTTATTTTTATTTTCTTTTTACCAAAGATAAGATAGTCTAACGGTAAGCTGCCGCAACAGTGAAGGTTTTGAAGTTGCAAATCCCAGGTTCGATCCAAGCGAGGCCTGTTGGTGTTCCCGGATGTATGAGGCTACTTGGAGCAGATTTTTGTAAACTCATCCTCATTTTCATTTTTAATTCAAGAATTATTACTTTGTCCGGAGGAAGTTTCTTATTATCATCCCCATCCTCACAGAGTTTTTGGATATCCAGTGGATAATCCCGCAAATTCGAACTAAACTCAAATTAAAGCTAACGTAATTAAGTTGAAGACTAGAGCTAGAACTTTCAACAAACATTTTACCTCATAAACTTGATTCAATAAAAAAAAATAATGATTTTTTGCGAGATAATTTGAATACTTTGTTAGAATTTTTTGTTGACATATGATATGAATTTGAAATTGTTTATGATTACTGATAAATTCATTCATAAATTAGTGAATTATATATGTCTTTTATGTTATAATGTATAAACGATTCTACCTGTCATAAACCAGTTGATCCCAATAATTCGAGTTGTTGGAAGAGGTTCAATCGTGGATCATATACCGTTTACTAACACTACCAACGATTATCCAATAGTTCTATAACGTTTAACCACTGAACCATCAAACACCAACTTTCTGATTCCACATCTGGTCCGGTTCCTAAAGCATTGCATATAATCTAACAATCTTATGATTACCAATAAGCTAATGATAAGCTATCAATCGATTCACTCATTGAGGTGTTAATTGAGTTGACTCGCTAGCCATACTGTCGAGCTAGATCATAGCTCAAAACGAGTGAGCTCACGAGTTGAACTAAAAAAGCCACTGAGTCAAGCTGACTCACAAGCCATGCGAGCTGAACAAAGGTTAGCTCAAACTCAACTCATTTGTAAATAAGCTGAATGTCAAACAAGCTTTTTCCGAACTAAACTCCGAGCCGCTCATGCCCTACTTGGATCATGTCGCTTATCCGAGAGGAAGGTTATGAGACATTTTATTTTTACCGATGAACCTCGGGCTGAGCCTCACGTGCCACTTTGTGACAGCGGGACCTACTAAATCTAGGGACCACCTGTAGTCTCATATCTCCGAGAACATCAATGCGTCTCACTTGAATCGAATATGGGATCTGCAACTCTCATATCTTCATTATCACGACAGCTTACCGTTAGCCCATCTTACTTTGGTATGCTTTTGAGACATATCAACGATGCAATTAATTTAAGGTGGAAATCTCTAGAAAGCCACGCCGCTTATGCGAGAGGAAGGTTATGCATAAACGGCAGAACCCCATAAGCAACAAACAATGACAACCCGCCTGTAGTAGCACGCCACGTCACGAAAAGCCCGTCATCGAATTTCTACAGCACGGACGATGCCACGCTGGCGCCAATCATCGACGTCCGATCTAAACAGCAACCAGTAATGACGAAATCGGACGATTCATAGTGCGCCACGCAAGCAAACAATCGCGGAGGTAAGCGAACTTTCGGCCGACTCTCTCTTCTTTGCTTTCCCTTCTGCTATAAGACACTTCCCCGTCCTCTGCCCTTCCATTCTCTCCCTCGCTGATTCAAACCGAAGCTCGAAAGAAGGGAATTAGGTAACACACAGAGAGAAAAATGGAGGGTTACACTCGACAGATCTGGTTGGCAGTGGCGACGTTGACCTTGCTGGCTGTATCAGCTGTGGCGGACGACGTCCTCGTGTTAAGCGAAGACAACTTCGAGAAGGAAGTCGGCCAGGACAAAGGCGCTCTGGTCGAGTTCTACGCTCCCTGGTTAGTAGCGATCTCTTGTTCTCGGACTCTTTAGGTTCAAGGTTTTGGTGCGATCTAGGATTCCGTAGGAATAGGGAATGATCGGATTTCGAACCGTTTGAGATTTTGGCATGCTGCTAGTTTATCTTTGATCTGTTCGATGTTAGCGCTGGTTTTTGCTTGAGGTTTCGATGGTGGATCAGTTGTGAGGCTGAATCTATGAAACCGATGTTTGCTGTGTGCTGATGCGAGCGGTGGATTGCAGTGTCGCGATGAGAGAAGAAGATGCGAAGCGATCGTATTAGATGAAACAGAAATGTGTTATTCGTTTATGAATTTTTCTGCGATTGCTTATTTAAGTGGTGATTGCCTGTGCGGATGATTTGTAGAATTTAAGTTGTCGAGATCGACTAATGAGTGTTTTGATTTACTTATCGTGGCAGGTGTGGCCACTGTAAAAAACTTGCTCCCGAGTATGAGAAGCTTGGAGCGAGCTTTAAGAAGGCGAAGTCTGTTTTGATCGCCAAGGTTTTGCACTGTTTCTACTATCATTTGTACTTTTGGATTGGTGTGAGTGTTGGGTTACTTAAAAGAGTTGTGATTTGTTGTGCCTAAGGTGGACTGTGATGAACACAAGAGTCTCTGTTCCAAGTATGGGGTTTCTGGATACCCAACTCTCCAATGGTTCCCCAAAGGGTCTCTGGAACCCAAAAAGTGAGGATCATTTTTAACTCTTTGCCTTGCCTAAAATGTCTGTAAACTGCAATGTTGATTTTCCTCTCTGTGCTTCATCACGCTGTACAATGTCTAATTTTAGTTTACCCAGGTATGAAGGACCGCGTACTGCTGAAGCCCTTGCTGAGTATGTGAATTCTGAAGGAGGTAATCATCATTCTTGTGAACTCGTGCTGAATATTCTTTTTAGTTTCTCTTCTAGACCTATCTGATATCTACTGTGATCTGTTGACATGGGAATTTGGAAGAAGAGAAGATATGACGATTTTAGGAATTTTGCATCATAACTTTTTTGTTTGTGCTTTTGTTAGTCCTCTGGTATTTGTTGTTTGGTCTGTGGTTAAGCGCATTTGAAAGTGGTCTCTTTTCCTTTATTAATTATTCTCAGCGCAGCTTTAAGGGTATGGTCTTGATTAATGTAGTTGAAATCACGCTTTGATAATGAGATATGTGCTCTTGTTTTTCATTCTTCGCTATCCGTGGTACTATAGGCACTCAGAATGTCCCAGGGTTGGCTCTGGAACTCTAGTTTCCTTTTGGGTTGTATATCTTATTGTGATTCTTGAAGTTTAGATGTTCCTTTCCGCCATGGTATTGTCTGTTTTCTTTTAAAGTGGGCATTGTTTAACAGTTATAGAAAACGTGATGGAGTACCTTTTTTTCCTACAGGAACCAATGTGAAGCTAGCTATTCCCCCATCTAATGTGGTGGTATTATCAACAGAGAACTTTGATGAGATTGTCTTGGATGAATCTAAAGATGTCTTGGTTGAGTTTTATGCTCCTTGGTAAACATTTGTGAATCAATACTCTTCACTCATAGTTTTTGGCTTGAATAACCGACTCCAGCTTATAATTCCTCATTTCCTTCGATTCCGTTCCGTTCCATTCCTTACGTTCTGTTTCTGACTGTTGCCTCTGTTAGGTGTGGTCACTGCAAGAATCTTGCTCCTGTACGTGCCTTCAATTTCTTCACTTAGTTCCATTATAAATAAATGCATTCATGGGCATACATAACTACCATCACAGATGATGAGAGGGATTCAGTTGTGATTCATTTCTATTACGGGTACTCACCTGCCTTCCTTGATTGTTTTATTGTGGCAGACCTATGAAAAAGTAGCAACTGCTTTCAAATCGGAGGGTGAGGTTGTTATTGCCAATCTTGATGCTGACAAGTACAAGGATTATGCTGAGAAGTAAGAGCATTATTAATGATTGTGTGACAGCTGCTCTTCATATCAATAGCATATGAATATAACAGCACATCCTTCGCTTATCTGCAGGTACGGAGTAAGTGGGTACCCTACATTGAAATTCTTCCCGAAGGGAAATAAGGCCGGAGAAGATTATGATGGCGGAAGAGACTTGGAGGACTTTGTTACTTTCATCAATGAAAAGTGTGGTACCAGTCGTGATGCAAATGGGCAACTTACCTCCAAAGTTAGTTATTATCAGGGACTGACTACTTTGATTATATTGCTCTCTCTTGCTGGCTAACTGATCAGTTATTTGCATTTGTTTGATAGGCTGGTATAGTTGAAAGTCTGGATGCCTTGGTGAAAGAATTTATTGCTGCTGGTGGTGACGAGAAGAAAGCAATCTATTCCCGACTTGAAGAAGAAGTTGCCAAACTAAACGGTTCGCCTGCAAGGTACCCATGCATTTGTAGTATTCTCAGCTGGAATTTCTTACATTTACATGCCAAATGTTTCGGCTTTACTCAGTGACTAACTTATCTGGAAAAAATCCAAAACTACCACTGTTTTAAAAAAAAATTACAAAAATACCACCCACTCCATAAAATTTCCAAAAATACCACCCTTAATTTAAAACCGCCCTTCTAAGGAGCGGTTTACATAAAAACCGCGCCCCCAGGCGGCGGTTAAACCTAAAAACGCGCCCCCAAGGCGCGGTTTGACCATGCATGGCTGTCAAACCGCTTTGCCAGGTGGCGGTGCATCAAACCGCTCGTCCGAGGAGCGATCTGACGGCTAAAATGGCTGCCAAGTAAGCGATCCGCGTCGCCCCACATAAACCGCTCCCCCGAGGCGCGGTTTGACCATCTGCGTCTGAATCTGGACCGGAATCATCAGCACCTTCCAGCGGATCGGAGCTGTCTGCACTAACTTCGCCTTCCTCTTCTTCAACCTCATGGTCACTAACTGGACTTGGATTGACCTCTTCTTCCATCTGATTTTCAGCATGAAAGGCACCTTGACCTCCACTAGCTCCGTAATGGTAGTTGTGGTAACTAACACCGCTTTGATAGAAGTTGTACTCGGGTGGGTACTGGTAGACTGCTTGTTGGTTGTAATCCGCCTGTTGAGCTTCTTGTTCATAGGAATGGAAGGATTGATGACTTCCTCCAGTTCCATGATGATACTCCTGACTCCAACTCGAGGTTTGGAAATCCTGGTGGGGAGTATCTTCGTATAATACACTCCCACCGTGGATACCAGATGTTTGGCCATCTCCAGAATGACCTACACTGCCTTCGACGGCCTCGGTGTAAACGAACATCTCCGCTTGCTTAATTGTATTGGTGGTCAAAAATTGGACCATGGCATCAACGTCCTCCTGAGTGTTAAGGAGGAATTCCTCATGCCACAGGGACCCGTGATGTCTGTTTGGATATCGATACACCATTCGATCAACTCTTCTACTGCCATCCATGCAGGTAATCTGAGTGCACTGACGGTGGAGCTCTTCAAGCATCGGTCTCGTACGGACCTTCATTTTATGAAAATTGCCACCGACGTAACTTACACCCTTTTCGGTCTCTTCCGTGTAACCATTCCACCGCAACCCAAGCGTGAACCTTTGGAATGCCATCTGCAATGAAAAGTAACACAAGTTACTAACATAACAACACAAAGAAAAATGAAAAGTAATTCAAATTACTAACATAAAATCACAAATGACAATGAAAAGTAACACAAGTTACTAACATAAAAATTATTTTGTTAATCGTATTGATTATTTTCAATAATTTAAAGCAATACAAGTACACTCGTAAGACTCTTAGGAGAGGTATACATCTCCTTAGAAACACAGTCTTTTTGACAGAAAAAGGGGGGATCCGAGGATCGCTTAGAACCCGATTTTCCCAGGTCATGGGGGGATCATGATGATCGCTTAAGTCCCCATTTCCTTAGACATGCATTTCTTTATAAAGAGTCTCAATAAGTGTTGTATTGTATTGATTTAAACTATTGAAAATAATCAATACGATTAACAATTATGTAAATTATTGTACAACAAATATACATTATCTAATAAACAAAGGACAATGAAAAGTAATTCAAATTACTAACATAAAATCACAAATGACAATGAAAAGTAATTAAGTTACTAACATAACATCATAAAGGACAATCAAACGTAATTAAGTTACTAACATAAAATCACAAAGACAATGAAAAGTAATTACGAAACAAACTTACGAATTAACGTTAATCGCAAAAACTAAATAATTTAAAGGTGCAAAGCTGAAATTTGAGGATTTTTATGTGAATTGAGGAAGGAAGTGTGAAGAATTGTGTTCTCCGAAACAGCCTTTTATAGGCAAATTTTGCACCAAAACCGCTTGGGGGGGGAGCGGTTTTGGGTCTGCCATGCAGCCCTACCCCTGCATGCCGACATGTCGGATGTCGGGTGACCAGGCACAAACCGCGCCCCAGAGGAGCGGTTTGTGTCCTGACAATGTAAACCGCCCCTTCCCCAGGCGGTTTGCATGCCGACAATAAAACGCTCCCCCTACCAGCGTTTTCTGGTAGGGTTTACCCTATAACCGCGCCTCGCACAAGCGGTTTAGTCCAGGAAATGAAAACGCTCCTCCGAGGAGCGGTTAGAATGAAAAACGCCTCTTAGAGGCGCGGTTTCATTGAAAACCGCTCAACAGGGGGGCGGTTTTAAATTAAGGGTGGTATTTTTGGAAATTCTTTGGAGCGAGTGGTATTTTTGTAATTTTTTTTTTAAACAGTGGTAGTTTTGGATTTTTTCCAACTTATCTGGGTGAATAATTTTTTATGACAATCATTTTTCATACTAGATATGGGAAAATTTACCTGAAAGCTGCTAAGAACAGTATGGAGAAAGGTGCTGAATATCCAAAGAAAGAAATTGAGAGGCTGCAGCGAATGCTTGAAAAGGTATTTTACTTGATGTGTCGACTTCATAGATTGCCATTGTCTGTTAACATGAAACCGATGAACTAATGTGCCCCACCTTATCTTTTTGTGGTTGCTGCAGTCAATTAGCCCAACTAAAGCTGATGAGTTCACCCTCAAGAAGAACATCCTCGTAGCATTTGCTTGATCTAGTGGGTTCCCTTTGTATTTCACACCTCAGAAGATTTGCAAATTCGTAGCTTGACTGATTCCGGGTTTGCCCTGCAGTCTTTAAGACACTTGATACGATAATAGATCGAGGTCGTGGTGAAAGCAAAGTACTGTAGGTCTCGACTTAATCTAGCATGCGAACTTAGAGAGCTCTTGTTTTTTCTTTGGAGTGTTCAGATACATTGAGTTACAGTTTCTCCTGTATCGTAGCTTTCTTTTCTTCATATATTCAGCAGGAATTTTGAGGATGAAATACCGTCTTATAATAGGAGCTTTCAGCCAGTGGCGAGTGCTCCACTGATCGTCTACTTTTTTCCTGCCCCTTGCCCTTCTTTTCTTTCTACGAAGTGACTTTTGTGCCCTTGAACATTACGTTGCAGAAGAGCTCTGTTTATGATTTCAGCTCTGTTTGCTTAAGAACACGCGTTGTAAAAAACTCTAAGTTACATACACAGACAATCGGAAAGCCTAGGATTTGGCTGAATCCATCGCCATTGACAGAACCTAAAGAGCAAGTTAGCATCTAGGCACATCTGCTTTCACTTCATCGTTGGCATGTGATTCAGACTCGCTACTAAGCTCAGGTGCCGAGATTTTCATGGGAGAACAATCCTCAATATGATATTCCCTCTCGTCTTCAACCATGGGCTTCATGTAAGAACATGGCCTCTCCTCGCTCTCTATGTTCGGTGCGTGAAGCTCTTGTCCTGACGCGAACGGCAGTTCGTCGGATGATGGTCCAGGTGGTTGTGTTCTCATCTGCACCGACCGCAGCAGGGCAGCCCTCCTCAAGTCAGCCGAGTGACAAATGTCGCTTGGGGAGGATGGGAAACGGCCCTCGGAGTCTGAACCTCGCGGCTGCCTCAGCTGGGTGCTCGCTATGCAGGTGTGCGGAATGGGAGAAGCAGCACAATAGAAACCTCTTTGGTATCGATATGGAGATACTGGACTGGTTGGAATGCTTTCAGGCTGGGATGAGCTGCAAGCGTTGTTTGCTGAAGTCGTCTCACTGCAGAATCTGTAATCGTCCGAATCTTCTGACATTGGGGAGTACTGCTGCAATGGCATTTCGTCCCTGAAACAATGAATTTTGAGAGAAACGTTGAAGAATCCCCAGACAAACTGCACACTACCAGGATATGGGAAAGTTTACTTTAGAACAAGTTTATTACTAGAAGAAGAAGAAAAAAAACAGATCATTCATATAGCCATGGAAAGCAAACATGTTCGATAGGGGGCGAGAGATGCTCAGAAGATAAAATGCGGTAAAGCGGACCACATGATGACCTTTCCCTATAATGTAACAGGTGAATACGAACATTTATCTGAAGTATTAGAAACACAAAGTAGATCACTATACTGCTGGGCTTCAGTTGCAAAGTATGTCCGTTTTCAGTTGAAAGTGACTGCTGAGTTCCGCATGAAAATGGTCGAGGGAAAAGACACCTATTGCTATACAGCAGACATCAAAACATAGCGGCTACCACCCAAGAAGTACTGAGCACTTGGAACAATGGATCGCAGAAACCTAGTTTGCAATTCAGAGAAAATAATCACAACGCTCAAAGCAGTGCTGGTGTAACAATACAGATGAACTACAAAATGGGAAGGCGGAGCAATGGAAGCCTGTTTGTGTTCACGTGGACTTGGCAACTAGCACTTAGTTTCGTCATGGTGCTTAACTGACAAGACATACCAACACGACGCTGTGAAATGAGATACTGCGTAGTCTGAGTGAGCAACTACGAGAATCATATGAAAGTTCCCTAATGTAGCCTCAACCTTCATCGGTATGTCAAACTGCTTCAGAATGAGCAAACTAAAGATCAACGAGTTTCCAGAGGCGACCTGAACTTACGCTGGCCAAGGATGTGCATACACACTACCACATCAAAATCACCACAATATGAAACTACTCTCCAACCCATGTATATTGCTCCACTGGCAGCTCTTATCCGCAGTCCACCGTTCACATATATAATGATGGAAGGTTACTCCTCAAAAGCTGAGACCCAACAGATCTTGGATCAATACTCGAAAGCCAACCGGGATAAAACATTGCAACCACTCCACGGGCGAAAGTTCGCATTCAGAGAAATCGTCTACCAGATTCGTTACTCAGCCCATCAAGTTTAGGGATTCTTTTAACAGTAGAATGAACGATGATTCCATGAATGTGCAACTCTGGCTCACGCCAACAAAACAGTAGAGGAATGGCATAACAATAGAGAGAGCTCACCTAAAGTAATAAGGGCTTTCAGACCTCCCTGGAGAGTCCATAAGATTATCAGTCAATGAGTCCCCGACCGTCAATCCATTCAAGCTAGACGCCATCATCTGCCCAAATTGAACTCACAAAAACTAAGTTCCTCAACACTGAAACCAAAACCAGGCAAAAGATTCTTCCGTACACGAAAACGGGCATTGCGGGAAAACAACAAACAGCTGCAAACTTCGGGGTTTTGAAGAAGAAAGAGGGGAACGATACCTCGCTCAGATAACGCTTGTGAGAGTGAAGATTGTCGAGGTAGACCTCATCTTCACGATCTCGGCTTCGCTTCCCATTGGAAGACGGCGATGGTGAATTCGGATCCGACCCCATTTCCCGACTTTCGCTCTTTTATATCATCAAAATGGGGAAATTCTCCGAAGCCCGGGAAATGGAAGAAGCAACGAATTCCCAATCGCTAGAACAGCTGAAAGTTTCCTAGGCGAGCTCACAGGTGCAAAATTTGGGAGGTAGGATCATCAGTTCCAGAAGGTGAGAAAGCAGAAGCTCGCCGTCTTCGCTTTTGTCTTCGGCCGAAGTGATGCGACATGGGAACCTGTGTTACAGAGAAAATCGAATAACCGATTATTATTATTAGTATTATTCTTGATTTTGACCCAACACTACTTTACCAAAATATATATTCTTATCTTATTATTGAAATTGAATGGTAAACTTTAAATAATTCAAAATAAAGTAGAAACATGAGATATTAAACAACAATGAAAACATGAATTAGCATAATTGTCATGTCGATGGCATGTAGGTCATCTTGTACATGTGCCACGATCTGGTTCATGGCCTAGCATATCTCGACCATGATCTGTTCCTTCTGCATGCAATCTCAAAGTTGATTTCATCTCTACACTTCGGTCCTCCATTCTTCGTCATGTGCGTTGAATGCACACATTGTCACCTAATAACACACATGCAAATGCGAGTAAGCAAAACTAGGCTACAGTGTGGGTTGAAACGCTCTTTAATGCTCAAAATAACATAAAAAACACTTAAGATTAAGAACATGAATAACACTTATTTGGGTGTTACCAAATCCCCACACACTTAGGCGTTTGGTTACCAAGTAAACATGTGATTGACACATGCAACTTGAAGCTCCAATACCTCTCCCTTCGATGTGTTTTGTTGGAGTTGGGTCCCAGATGACTAGAGATGTCTCAATCTTCCATGTTTCTGCTCGGGCCACTTGTAAAATCGTCAACCAAGCGTCAACCAATTGACCTACAACTTAGAATCAAGCTTCGCACTAAAACAAAGCTACTACACATTCGCTAGAGAAACATTTGAACCAATATACGTCAATAAATCAAGCAACAACATTTCATTTCAAAACATCTCATGCATTTCGCTCTTTATTATTAATCAAGAAGGAGAATCTAGGTTGATTCAAAGCATGCAATCACATAGTAAGCATTTGGGCTTTCTTGGAACCCTCTTGAAAAGAAAAATTAGAGCAATATCTGAGGTTTCAAGCAAGTTGCTATTACACCAAACAACCACCATACACAAATTCTCATTCTCATTCTCATACATAATCATAAAAGCATTCATTCATCATCATAGAGAAGCAATCAACCAAATGATGACATCATTAAGGGACGGTTAAAAATATGCAAGGAATATCCCCTCATACTTAAGAGACACATTTGTCCTTAATCCGAGAGATTAAGTCAGAGTTCACGAGGTCACCATTGGGTGAGTTGTTGGTGGGGTTGTTAAACTGAGTAACTGCATATACACATTCGTTAAACTCGGTTACTTGGCTAACCAAAAAGCCTTCCAAGAGCCTCGGTTACCGGTGTCGGTTGATTATAATGGGCTTGGCCGATAACCAAGCAGTTGTCGATAAATAACCGATCACTGATCGTGCCCCGCACTAACCGCCACGACTTAGACACACAAGCATTAATGGGGAACGATGTCGTTCTCGCTCCACTCCCACTCCCACTCCCACATTGTCACTTCCAATTCTACCCAAAAAACATAGGGACAAAAACATATTGATAAATGACGACTCTAATCTTAATACTCCACGAAAGATATACACAATTGTATTCAAATTGTATCAAAACAATAATAAAAGCGAATGAGTAAAATAATAATAAAGCGAATGAGAGAAAAACCCAATAAAATAAAGGCCAAAATATAAATACCCCCAACCGCGAGCTTTTTAAGTAGTCACTAACTAGTCCGCTCTCCCTCCCGGCTTTTAGGTTTGTGAAGGACTCAAGGTTCAAAGGCCACCCAACCCTCGGGTCTTCTGAGACATATACACAAACAGTCGGAGTGCATTCTATTCTCGCGCCGGAAAGGGAGGGCAAGAGCTTGAAAGAAGCGATAATGAAGTACGTGCTGGTGACCGGTGGAGTGGTGAGTGGACTTGGCAAGGGCGTCACAGCTAGCAGCATAGGCGTCGTCCTCAAAGCTTGCGGCCTGCGTGTCACCTCCATCAAAATAGGTTCTTGGTTTTGCACTTGTTATGTTACGCCTTCCTGTTTGATAGTTTGGTACCTTCAGTTTTCGAGTGTGAGCAATGGGTTCTGGTCTTTAGGGCTTGGCTAGAATTGTTCGCTGCTTTTCAACTCTGCTCGTTTTTTGCCTGTAAATTTTCACTTTGGTAGGGGGGGTTTTCCACTGGTTCATCGATCATTTGCGAGGGCTGCTGCTTATGGATTAAAAATTTCATGTTTCTATGTCCTGCAGACCCTTACTTGAATACTGATGCTGGTACCATGTCCCCTTTTGAACACGGGGAGGTTTTTGTTCTTGATGACGGGGGAGAGGTTTGTCTCATCCAGCTTCTGTTTGTTCTTTTGGCGCTCAACTTTCTGTTCAAGCCCTTTTCTGATAGTGTCCTTGGATGTTTACACTTATTGAACAGTTGTCTTGATCATTATATTAACAGGTTTGTACCTTGGTTTCTCTTAAAAGGTTGATTTAGATTTGGGCAACTATGAGCGTTTCCTCGATGTCACACTTACAAAAGACAATAATATTACGACTGGAAAGATATTTCAGGTGCGTGGATTTTCAAATGCCTGCAGAGTTCTTTCTATTCCCTGGTCTCATAAGCTATCCAATATGACCAAACGCTTTCTTTTGATTGTATTCAGTCTGTCATTGAGAAGGAAAGGAAAGGCGATTATCTTGGAAAGACTGTTCAGGTGATACTTCTTTCTTGTCAGGGTACTTAGCTCTGTCCTGAACGTATTGGTTTTAAAACTTTATTCATGCTTGGACCCTGAGTTCCCAGGTGGTTCCTCACATTACGGATGCCATTAAGAACTGGATCGTGTCAGTTGCTCAAATTCCCGTAGATGGTGCGGAAGATCCCGCTGATGTCTGTGTCATAGAGTTGGGAGGAACTGTGGGTAAGCCTTGGGAAAGACAATCTCTCGCTGCTGTATGATGTTAAACAGTGAAACTTACTCCGTTGTTTGTTATGATGACAGGTGACATTGAATCGATGCCATTCATCGAGGCTTTGAGACAACTATCCTTTTCTGTTGGTATATTAAGTGCTTTATTTTCATGGAATGCTGTAAATGCTCCCCAATGTTGCATTTTCATGGATCTCAGAGTTCAAGTTTTACTTCCTATGCATAGGTGTCAGAATGTGATTGCACAGAGCTAGTTGAGTTATAGTTGAACATGATTACTTCTTTAAGAAGCTATTTATGATGATCTCTATTTCACGTCATCCATTGCAGGACAAGACCACTTTTGTCTCATTCATGTGAGCTTGATACCTGTACTTGGTGTTGTTGGAGAGCAAGTAATGTTCCTATGACATCCTAATGTGTCACATTGAGTAGGATCTTTGTGATTAGCTGTGGCAATGAATTTGGCTTCTCTGTGCATGCAGAAGACGAAGCCTACACAACATAGTGTGCGGGAACTCAGAGCATTAGGCTTGACTCCTCATCTATTGGCATGCCGCTCAGCTCAGGTTTTTTCCTTCTCTACTTGAAGCCATGATGGCCTTGTCATTCTAAGAGAAAGTTCTTGCTCATTATTGCCGAGAAAAGAGAACCATTCAATCATATAACTTTGATCCTTATCAAACCAGTACACTCACACATATCTTCTTTTGCAGCCTTTGCTGCAGAGTACTAAGGAGAAACTATCTCAGTTTTGCCATGTTCCGGTAAATTTGTGAACCATGACTTATAGCCTCTTTGATCATAGAGCCTTTCTTACCTGGTTGACTAAATGCCTCCACCTGTTCTTCAGGAAGCTAATATTCTTAATATCCATGACGTCCCAAATATTTGGCACGTTCCTCTGCTACTTATGGTGAGTGCAATATAAGTCTTTGCTACTGTCAGAGTTTGACAATTTGAGATATCAAACTGATATTTGATTCTATTAATATTTTTTTAACAGAATCAAAATGCTCATCATGCGATCCTTAAACAGCTAAACTTAGTGAGGTGATTATTTTCCTGTAATTGTAGTATGATACCTGAACATTGAAATGTATGCTGTAATCTATCTCAGCCTTGTGCTTCTATTTTTTTAATACTTTTCCCTCCCTTAGCGTTATGAGAGTTTAATTAATGATGCAAGTGTACCCTTTGTTGAGTATGTAAGTGCTGTTGTTCTACAGCTGTTTTCAGTTTACTTTTTGGCCTGTATTTGACTTTAAGTGCAACATGACACTCCAGTCGGGAAATTACTGCTGAAAGTTGCTTATATTAAATATTGATAATTTTCTTTTAGTGCTGCAATGCCTGCTGATTTACGAGATTGGACCGAGATGGCAGAGACATATGATAATTTAAAAAATTCTGTGAGTACTACTATCAGATAGTATGATTATTCTGTGTGTTTCCTCTTTACTTCATCTGGAGTTCAGGACATTTTTTCTGTTGCAGGTGAGGATTGCACTGGTGGGGAAGTATGTTGGTCTAACAGATTCATACCTTTCTGTTGTGAAGGTGTGTCACCTAAGCTGGGTTTGAACTTACCAACAAATATACTTGCGTCAGTAAATCAAGGATGTTGAATAATAAGATTGTCTCTAGCTTTTCACAATTAGGTGAAGAGATGTGGGACATATGAACTTAAAGTGGGTGGCATTCAACCTTTCTATTGCTTTTGATGCTGTGTCAGATTATTTTTTCCGAGAAAATAAATAACTCATGCGGATTTATGTTGCATCTCAACTAGGAAATCTTACAGAAAATATATCTATGTCACGTTCTTAGGATCAATTATATTTCATCAATGAACTTACTGCCCTGACATGTTGTGGCTTATTTGAGAACTCTTGTGTTAGCAATTGTGGTGGGCCTAACTTTCTATAACAGTGTAAGTTCTGTGCCTTCCTTGCAGGCCCTTCTTCATGCTTGCATTGCGTGTTCATTGAAACCATCAATTGATTGGGTTGCAGCTTCTGATCTTGAGGATGAGAGTGCAAAATTGGTATTGGATGGCTGCTAATCGCTGTTTCAGTCCTTGTTTTTGGTTTTGATTTGCTTACAGGTCAATCTCTCTTGCTAATGTTTCTGACTTTGTCCAGACACCAGAAGCTCATGCTGTTGCATGGGATACATTGAGGGTGAGGTTTCATAGCACAATCTAGATGGTTTTAATTGTGTGGCTTTGTTCTTCTCTTCATGTATTTCTAGCTTGTTAAAACCTGTGATTTTTGTTTCATTGGTTACTGATTCCTTCAGGAAATGTTTCTAACTGATGTTTATGCAGAATGCATCATGCGTCTTAGTCCCTGGAGGTTTTGGAGATCGTGGTGTGAGTGGGATGATATTGGCTGCCAAGTATGCTAGAGAGAACAACATTCCATATCTTGGAATTTGTTTAGGCATGCAGATTTCCGTGATTGAATTTGCTCGATCGGTATGTGAATCATAAGTTGAATGTGCAGTTGGTATCTTATGTTCCCGATTGCCATTCTAATTATCTGTTTAGGTTTTGGGACTGGAAGGGGCAAATAGCATGGAGTTCAACCAGGAGACACCTGATCCTGTTGTGATTTTCATGCCTGAGGTACTGATTTGCTATAACATTACCAACACTCCCATGCCATGTTAATGGAAGATCTTTATTTTTTTTGGCTTATTGTTTGATATAAATATAGGGTTCAAGAACACATATGGGAAGCACAATGCGGTTAGGTTCTCGAAGGACACTTTTCCAGACGTCTGATTGCATCGCTGCAAAACTGTATGTGCTTCTTTACCCTGTGATTTGCATATTTAAGAAAGTTTGTGGTTTCATGCTTGCATGCTTGCAACTGTTTAATTACTCTCTGTGTGCTTCTGGTTGAGCTTTGTGGGGAGGGAGGGTAAGGAAGGTACACTAAAGTTTGAAGCAAAGTGCTCATTAAATGTTATCGTCTAAATCTTGCCGAATTTGGCTACCTCTTGTTTTATGCTTATTTCATATACATGGAGACATTATAAATGAGATACAGTGGAGAAGTGTATATGGCTGATTGCACAATGCCCTGTTTTCCTTCCCCCAACTCATTCTTAGGTATGACAATCCTCAGCATGTTGATGAACGCCATCGACACAGATACGAGGTTAGTTAAATAGTGAAAACTTGTGGGAGAACCATTTAAACTGTGAAGGGTCTAAGCACTTTCCATGTTTGTGTGCAGGTAAACCCGGAGTTCATTGAAGCTCTAGAAAATGGCGGGCTGAAGTTTGTAGGAAAGGATGAAACTGGAAAGAGGATGGAGGTCGCTGTTCTCTCTATTATTTTCTATTATTTACTAAATATGTCTTTTGAGTCCTGGCAAAGTTTATTTCTTTGGCTGTGGTTAATTTTTAACTTTTCAGCTGGAAGAACAAACCCAACTTTTCATAAGCTCGTCAAATGGACTTAACTAATCTTGGCTTTTTCTGCAGATTTTGGAGCTTCCAAGTCATCCATATTACGTAGGTGTGCAATTTCATCCTGAGTTCAAATCACGACCTAGACGACCATCAGCTTTGTTTCTGGGTACGTACTGAATTGCATCCTCCGAATCTGATTGTGTTATCTTTTTCTGAACAAAGAATTAGCCCTCATCTGGTTCAGAAACTTGAGGATGAGTTTATAGTTTACTTAGGATACCATGTTCACGCTTCTGTTTATGTGGAGTAATAACCAAATAAGACTAATGTATCCGTCTTCAATTATTCTACCGTTGTTTATTCCGTTGCCTTGGCAGGTCTCATATTAGCAGCAACTGGACAGCTGGAAGAGCACATAAAAAAGTAGTTGGCAGAATGGAAACTGACTATGCTTGAACCTTACAAAACAGTCTTAGTGAGAAGAAGGTTCTTGTAGTTTTTGGGGGAACTCATTGGACAGTGACTTGTGGTTTGCGTTTGATTTCTTTTTCCCGTTCCTTGGCTGAGAAGTTACATAAATTGTTACCAGTGGAAGGTTTTCGTAGTACAGTGCAGGCAGAAGTCATAGTTAGAGTGCCTGCTATACAGTACTAAATGATTTTGAATGGTGTCGGCTTCGTTATTTGGATTGATCACCATCTCATTGTTACGGGATGTCTGTCAGCGAATGCAACCAAGTTCGATCTGTAGTTGCTTTTGCCAAGCCTTCAGTGCTATGATGTGTTTATATCTCGCTAGGCTGTCTATTGATATCGATGGAGGCATGGAGCAACTTTGACGTAGACTCGATGATGCTGCGTTTCTACAATGAATCGCTTCCTCGTTTCTACAATGATCTCTGTTGTTTGCTATTGGCATTTGGTTGATGCGAGGTTGAACATTGCACTTACTCATTTAGTTCATTTATGGTTCAGTAAGCAGAGTTCAAAATCGAAACAGGAACTATGAGAATGTAAAGTAATGTATTGATTGATTGAAGCCTCCGGTAATTTACAAAATGCCGTATGCATCTCATCAGTCTTCTACACAAGGACAGTATTCGAACCGAGCCAAAAGAAAAGAGAGGATAAGGGAAAAGAAGCAAAAAATTCCAGCCAGAAGCAACATTCATTTCTTGTGGTACTCTAGGTATGAAACCTGTCTCTGAAGCTTCATTTGTTCATAGAACTGAGCTATGAACTTGTCAGCTCTGGAGTCTATCCCTTCTGCTTCTTCCTCCACCGATGAGCAATCATCGTCGGAATATTGCTCTTCGTCGTAGGCTTCTTCATCATCAACAACAACAATGTCGTCGCTGCACCTGCTAATCTCCCTTCCACTTGTGCAAGGCTCGTCGTCGTAGAAAGCGCCATTTTCATAACCATCGACATTGCAGTCCTCGAAGTCGGCCTGGTTCGGAGTAATGCAAGGAATGATGAAGCGCATGGATGCAGGGCGGTGCATCTTGACCTGGAACAGAGGAGTCTTGTCGAAAGAGAGCTCCCTTTCGCCGTAGAAGCCAATTCGGGGGCCAGAGGAAGAAGAAGAAGAAGCGGGCGCCATGCTCTTGATGAACTTGGGGACCAGACGGAGATCCATCACCAGCCGTCTCTTGAAGACGCCGCCTTTTCGCGCCCAGAGCAATGCCAGGCGGAGGATGTTCCATGCCCGGCGGCTCACATTGCTCTGTTTCTTCGCCATTTTTGGTCACCACGATTGTTTTGCAAAGTGCTTCTGAAAGTCGTGGGTGGAGTGATAAGCTGTCTGATGGGAGCTGCCTTGTAGAGAAAATGGGTTTCTGCTTGTAGATATATAGACATGGTGGGTAATCATTATCACGCGGTGCGGGTTCGAGGAAAGTTAGCTGGGGGAAACGGCGAAATAGAGAAAGAAAAACAAAGGAAAAGTTTGGGGGGTTTTCGGCTGTGGAAAACGAGACAGAGTAGACGTTACTTTGTTTTTTCTTCTTCTCTGCTGTGTTGGTTGTTCGGGGAAACGGCTGGAAAAAAGTAAGCGCGGGTTGGGCGGTGGGGGAAGCCTCGCTGGAAAATACGACACCGGCTGTACGCGGGCTGTCCTCGCTAACTTCCTTCATTTGCCCCATCTCATTATTAAGTATTAACTCACCCCCAATGACAACATATTAGGAGTATGAACCAATATAGTGAACGAGTTGCATTTTAATGGTTTAACCCGTATTAAATCGTTAAAAGGTTCTCATCTTCTCATTCTTCTCGGTATCACCTATCACCTGTCGCTTCACTTTAGTCTTTTCTCATTTCAATATTTTTCCATCTTCGCCTCTTACTACACCAGTACACCCCCAATCTCTCATCGCAACATTTTCCCCGTCTTCTCTGTAGACTCATGCGTGTGGGTTGTCCGAGAAGGGAGCATCGTGTAAGGAAGTCTGCCGTGGGGGTTGTTGGAGCGCCTATTCTCTGCTTGTCTTCCATGGGTTGTCGGTCCGAGGTGGTGAGGACTAGGAAGTTTTGGAATAGCGGAAACCTTTCGTCCTGTCTGTGGTTTCCAGCTGAACTTCACTCTACGCAAGATGAACCTCAATTGTATTAATATTTTATGACCGCCAGAGAGAATCAAAAAATCCGTCGGGCGGTTCGAGCGGCTCGTGCGGATAATCGTTTTGACCGCTCACAGGCCAACCGTTCTAAACCTTTTTAAGGGTTCCGAGTTGAGCTGGCAGATGATTGTTGGTGTTACCGGTCCAACTGATTGGCCCAGTTTGATTTTAATAACACTGCCTCGAATGATTATGGATTTATTTGTTTTCCACAATTTTTTTTACTGATAATTGTTTTCTTTGTGTTGATGTGGCATCCTCATCATATAAACAGTGAGTCACTAATGTATAAAGATGTTGATCGTACAATTTGGCGTTCAATCTAAGCATCAAGTTACCCGATCAAGTTGTAGACTATGGTCATATTTACATGGTCCGAATACCAGGATCGTATTTCTCTAGGGGCTCTCACAATCACTTACTCATTTGGTGAGGGATGAGTTTTATATAAAACGCGATTGTGAATGTTAAGGTGACTCTGGGGTTGAAATTCCCCTTGGTTTTACAAAACTAAAAGGAAAAGGCAATGCGGAAAATAAAATCTAAAGCTAGGGTGAGTAGAGGAAGCAGGAGGACGAGGCGTTGCATACCTAGGCAAGCTCCCCTTAGAGTTACTTCCCTCACCTGTAGGCTGTAGCCGTGAAAACAAGCACATACGGTCATAAACCCACTAATTAATTTGAATAACTCAAGTTAGTGGAAAATGTTTATGTATAGTACTTAAATTATTTTTTACATGCTTTCTCAAATGAAAACTAATTAACAGATTTGAAGTTTGCACATGAACAACCATATACCATGTGCTTTAAGATAACGGTTAATGTTATGCGTCGTGAATACTTGAACACGTGACCTCAATAACAAACCATTTATGATACCATAGAAACAAACTGATATCAATAACTCGAGTTATTGATAAACTGTCTGTATGTTATTCCACCACTTTTTCCTTATATATACAGATATACATGGGAGAAACGTTCAAAGGGAAAAGAGGATTCCCTTGGACATTTGATATGAGGACGTATGCATATGCTTCAACTTGCATTAGTTTACATATATATATTCCACGTCCACTTCAACTGCTACAGCTTTTAACACACGGTTTTAGAGATAAACAAAAGATTAATATCAACGTAACTCTGAACCAATTAAACATTATAGCCAGCAGAAAGCTGTCTGCATATGCGCTGATCAGTTCCACTCTTAATTTCCCGCCATATATATAAATACCAACACTTGATCACTCCTCTTCCCCAAAACATCCACACTGATTCATAGCTACTACTATTATCTTTACTCGTATCGTCAAGCTAGCTACTCGATCTCTTCTCTTCCTGTTTATTGATTCATGCACAATATGAAGAAGGCTTGCACTAGCCATCAATTGTTTGGTGGGATGCTGTTGCTCTTCTTGACCATGCTGCTCGTGCCGGCCGTGTACTCTGATCCGTCTCTCAAAGTGGGCTTCTACAAGCGATCCTGTCCCGCGGCGGAATCCATTGTGAGGAAAACTGTCAGAAGGGCAGTGTCCCGCAATCCTGGTATTGGCGGTGGGATTATCAGGATGCATTTCCATGACTGCTTTGTCCGGGTAAGTACATCTAATCTAATACTGTTTACACATAATTTCATCCCAAACCTCGTGATATTCGGGCTCGATCTGTATGTCTTAATCGCTTCCTTACACACCATGGCAATTGTGCAGGGTTGTGATGGTTCCGTGCTGCTGAAATCGGGGCCAGGTAGTCAGCAATCGGAGAGGGACCACCCGGCCAACAATCCGGGGCTGAGGGGATTCGAAGTAATCGAGGAAGCCAAGAACAGAATCGAGTCCGTCTGCCCCAACACCGTCTCCTGCGCCGACATCCTCGCTTTTGCCGCCAGGGACAGCTCCAGCAAGCTCGGCCGCATCAACTACGCGGTCCCTGCGGGTCGCCGCGACGGCCGCGTCACCGTCTTCGACGAGGTCACCGAGAACCTCCCTCCCCCGACCTCCACCGCCGACCAACTCGTCGCGAATTTCGCCAGGAAAGGACTGTCGGCCGACGAGATGGTCACGCTCTCCGGCGCGCATTCCATCGGCGCGTCGCACTGCTCGTCGTTCTCGGCGCGCCTCTACTCCTTCAACGGAACGCATGATCAGGACCCGTCCCTCGACCGGAAATTCGCGGCGGCTCTGAAGGCCACGTGTCCCCGGCCGCCGCGAAACGGCGGCGGCCGTGATCCGTTGGTGCCGCTCGACTCGGCCACGCCCAACCGGCTGGACAATAAGTACTACGTAGAGCTGACAGCGGGGCGGGGGTTGCTGACGTCGGACCAGACGTTGGTGGAGAATTCGCTGACGAGGAAGTACGTGGCGGTCAATGCTAGGTACGGCGCCACGTGGACTGCCAAGTATGTTAAGGCGATGGTGAAGATGGGTTCGATTGATGTGTTGACCGGAAGTCAAGGTGAGATTCGGAGCAGCTGTAGCTTTGTCAACTGATGATGGAATCAATTTAGTGTTCGATTATCACATTTTTTCTCTTTTTTTCAATTATGTGATTTTTCGCAATTGTCATTCTTTATCCAAGATGTTCGATACGCAACTTGTAATGATGTTAGGATGTCTCGCAATGTTGATTGTAATGATGTTAGGATGTCTCGTAATGTTGATTCTTCGTGGTATCATTCTTTTTTGTTTTTTCATAACGTTTGAAGAAAACAATTTAGTATTGATTTTGTCACATTGTTAAAATAATTTGATCATTATTTTTACATACTTAGCAATACAAACTATTTTTCTTTGTGGCATCAATTAATTAATAGTAACAATTACAAAATTATTTTTTTTTCTCATACTTCCAATAAACTAGCATCCATGGGTTAAATGACTCGATCAACCTCGACTCTCTTGTCTGCCTTAACATGCTCAAAGTTGCACCCCTTTTTTTACAAGAATAATAAACTTTTATTTCACCATTCGAAAGAAACATGAAATAGATTACATTCTCAAAAAAGATTAGAAATTAGATCAAGAATATTAATCCAGTCGTTTAGAAGCGAACCTCTGACCTTCGATCGCGCAACCCAATCAGCTCTGATATTGAGAATTCTTGGCACCTCCTTGACCTTATAGAAAGGGGTTTGTCCTAAGAATCATGACAATAGAGCCAATCCATGCAGATGCAGCACACCACCACGTCCAACTTGCTTGATTTTGATTCAACACTCTAACCAGCACCGGGCAGTCAAATAGGATCATGCATTTGGTACCATATTCTTGTGCTAATTTTACTCCTTCAAAAAGAGAGTGTTAGTTTATGCTTTAATCGGGGTGGAACAAAAAAGAGCATCGACTAGTCCATCATACACTTGTCCATGGTGGTTAACAACCAAAACACGTACTCTGTGTTTATACTCTCTCTCTCTCCATTGTGTTGCTATTTATGCGTTCACTATCTGCAGTATTCTAGCTATGCTCTGTTCTCTATCAAAGCTGTACTTTAAATACACTCAACCAATAATACAACAGTACAATAGTCAATGGCATTTCACCTGCTACTTCCCCCTAATGTGCTCACAACTCAGACAAATATATGTTATTTAAGTCCTAAAGTAGAGACTCTCCAGATGTTCGCTCGCTCCTAAAATCGTAACTGCTCCAGCGATAATACATGTACAGATGTACTTAGTCTGATGATTCTTGGTGTAGTCTTCCATGTGCAGAGTGGCCAATCTGAGAGGCGCAGCTGTGGCATTTAGCTTGGCTTCCAAGCCTGCTTTCACTGGGGATAATGCATTATTAATCTTCAGCTGAAGGACATAGAACTAGGCGCAGACATCTACTAATCTCGGCTCAGCTTTCTACAAGATTGATGATAGACTAGACGAATTTGGCTAGGATGATGCTAACAATCAGCTCAACCCTTCTTTCACCCCGAAATCATCCGAAGGAGGTGAATGAAAGGCCCGCATTTGGAGGAATAGGAGAATCAGGGGTATGATCTGCTCACAAAGGCACCAGGAAACCATTTTGGGAGGAGTGAGTATTTGGCCTTAACAAGCAGCACGTACATCCCATAAAAAGGGACGTGCACCACCGCGATGGCGAAATACCTGCAATCGAAGCCAAATTAGGACTTTTTCTAGTGAGAGAATCTACTAGAAACGAGCAGGTATAGTTGATGTCGGCCTCAAGATTCAAAAATCGGCAGCACTGGAATACAAACTACAGAAAGGACCTTGGGTACGTACCATAAGGGAGCCCATGGCGTATTGAGCTCCAAGAATTCGTATGGCCACCTGTGGAATGAATGGTTATATAACTTATTAAAGAAGGTGTAAGATGTGCTTTAAGTAGAAGTCCAACTAGGCCAGGAGATAGAAACAAAAGGTACAGCATTACCCTGAAATCCCACCGACATGAAGCGCCCATTGGAAAACCATGTAGACACAGCTCCACAGCACAAAATATAGAAATCCGAACCAAGGAAACGGCTGCAAACAAAACATGAGAAGTGTTTTCGTACTATTTAGATTTGAGGGTGTCAGGAATTATAAAGCAGAGTTGTGTTGTGTGTAAGCTAAAGGGAATGAAGATGGAGGGGAGAAAAGGAAGGGAGAGCTTACAAGGTTGTTGAGGATAGTATCAAGGATTAGGAACGCAACATTCAGAGAGTGGATGCAGCCCATCAACTGCCAGAAACACAAGTGAATATCCACTTAACTCCTTGTAGAAGCAGTAAGGATCAGATGGAAGGAACTGAAGATAGGCTTCTAAGGTAAAAGAAGGTGAAAATACCACATCCAGATGAAAATGCTCGTCGGATTGAAATGGAAGAAGAAGACACCAGAACACAATGTCAGTCAGGATCACAGCTCCCCCACAAGTCTTCTCAAGCAGCAAGGAGAAAAGAGATCAGAGACCAATTACAAATCCATTTACTCGAAAGTGACAGTTCAAATACACACTAATTCACAGTGTAGCCAAGTATTGGAGGAGGATCCAGCATGGCTCTATCACGATTTCAATATGTATGATTCTTTCACGATTATATCATTAGTTGAACGGGGCCTTGACCCTTGCTTACCACACCATAGGTGTTAAAATAGCTCGACCATTGGCATGTTCTCTGCATCCTTTTATACATAATCATAAACCGAACTCTAAAAGCTAGGAAGAAGCTTGAAGTGACACAAAATTTGCACAATTCGTATAATCTTAGAAGTTAGAAGAAAAACTTCAAAACCCCACCTGATATACAGTGAGCATTAGGTAACCCCAGAACCCAGCTTTCAACTGTACTGTTTCATCAGTTCCTCTAATCCCTCTTCCCCCTTTATCATTATCATCCAAGCCCGTCTCAAGAAACAAAGAGGCTTCAGCGGTTCCAGCTCCAGATGGTGATTGGTTTTGGGATTCCCAGTAACAACCATATGCAGAAATGACGGTCCCCAACTACAAGTGAACTTGTATTTTTTCATTTCAATGAGCAGAACAATATGTATGAAAATGGTTTCTTTCTGGTCCAACAACATACCGCAAAGTAGACCATCACAAGCGTAAACGTCCACCTGAAAAATATTTGAGAGAAGCAGCCAAAATTCAGAATCGCCCAACTTAACCCATATCCTAGAAATGCCGAAATTGTCCCACTTTTCCAGAAATTATGAAAATTCCCAGTTTGGAAGCGTGAAGGAGGGCCCAAGTTCCTCGTAGAAATGAAGGGGAAGGGGGCTTACTGAGTGTAGAAATAGTAGGTGAAGATCCCATCGACGGAGGCGACTCCATAAAGTACGGGGGCCAAGCAAACGAGCGCAAAAGCTCTGAAGACAAGAAGGTAGAGAGGGTTGAGGCAGTGGCGGAGGGAGGTGGAAGGGAGTGGGGTCCTAGGACCCCACTTGGATAAATTAAAATGGTTATATGCATGTACATATTTGTTTAATTTGGTTAGATTTAGAATTCAGGACCCCATTCATATGAACTTTAATTGTCCTAATATTATCAAACACACAAATAAATTAGACAATACTGGTCATATATCATTAAAAATCCCCAATTTTTATAGTCCTTATTCTAAAAATTTCTAATTCTACAAAATATGTGTACAAAAACCTCCGGCTATATCTAAAAAGCTCTTAGTTTAACAAATTTTTTTCTATCAATATACAATTTCTGTGTCATCAAATGTGTTTTATAAAAACGATTGTGTATTAGATTTTGCTTGGGAACTATTTATTTTAGCTAGTTATTGAAATATCACTTTTCAGTTATGAGTTACACAAAATATAAGGTACAAATATAGTAACTAATGGTACGATTAATGACTACTTGAATGAATATTTTCAAGAAAATTTACTTGATAATTGAATACAATGTTATAAGATTTTTCGTAAATGGGACCCCACTAAACTTGAACCCTCGCTACGCCACTGGGTTGAGGCATCTCCAGCAGGATTTCCAGAGATCGCTGTAGTAGAGAGTCTCTGCGGCTCTGGATTTCTTGATAATAATACAAGCGGCCGCCACTCCAGGGCCGACGACGATGAAAGCACAGATTGCCACTTGCCATCGCAGCCAATACCCAATTCCTCCGTCGTCGGGATTCGACATTTGGGCGGTGGGTAAAGGAGGAGCGAGAGATTGGAGGTAGAGTCTGCTCGAAGTCGGATTGCTTGGGTTGGTGTGGTAGTTAAGGTGGTTGACTCGGTAAATGACTCGAGAGTCGAGATGTCCTCCTACTGGATTTGGGCGGCATTGAACTCGCGTGATTTCTCGTACATGGGCTCTTATAGGGAATGGTGTATTGCGGGCTAGGTTGTCAACCGTACATGGGCGCTGGATCGTGTTTGGGCTGGCACGAGCACGCTTCAGTTTATTTATTTCGTCTTGTGTTTGGTATATCCCGTCAGTTTCCGTGTCGTGCCGTACCAGTCCATTTGTTAATTTCGCTACGTTCGGGCCCGGACACGGTTTGAATCGTGTTCATGCCTATCTCATATTCGTGTTTAATGAAAATGAAGAAATTAAAAGAAAGAATGAAAAAGAATGAAAGTATAAACATAGAATATTTAAGAAATATGACAAATAAGGAGAAAAGAAAATTGGAAGTATGACGAGTGTGATTTGACTTTATTTAATACTTCGTCCATTTTTATTTATGGTAGTAATTAGGTATATATCTATATGATCACTTATAATAACAACACATATTTTTTATTGTACTTGTATTTTGTAATATTTGAACCTATAATCATTTTATATTTATTTTCTATCAAATAAATATTCTTTTTGTGCCATGTTCGTTACTATACTCAAGAAGGTCTCAAAAATATTATGCCTGACACGGTCCACTAACAAATCGTGTCAGACCCGACATGACCCATAAATTATTCGTGCTTGTGCCGGGCCGACCTATATATTTTGTGCACGTGCTCGTGTCGTGCCGTGCTAGCCCGTGGGCGACCCAGCCCGTTGCACATGTACATTGTCAACCCGCGGGTCGATCTGGACCCGGTTGAGCCAGTGGGTCATGGGTTAATGGGTCACCCGGTTTAGCCCGATTTAGCCCGACATTCATCTAAAACATCTAAACTATAAAACATCTCAATCCCAATTCCAATTCGTGTTCGTTTGCATTTATTGGAAGTTGGAACCAAGTTCCAAATCCAACTAAGTAACTAACCTTTACCAGTAATTCAATCCAATTAAACAGAGGGAGGAGAATAGGATTCATAGACTTCAAAATCCAAGTAAAATGGTCATTTGAAAAAAAATCGCAAAAAATTTATGAAAATGCCATCCGAAAACGAATTACCCCAAATTGTTGCTTGATGGACTTAATCGTCGGTGGAGAATAGGAACCATAGACTTCACCATCGCTGGAGAATAGCCTCGGGCCGAATCCGTGATCCACAGCCTTCAAAATCGAAAGAAAATGACATTTCGGGAAAATCGCCCGAAATCTGTGATGGTACCCCTTTGGAATCTACAAAAAATTGACCGGAATAAATCCGCCTAAGTTGGTGCTTTAGGGACTTAATCATGGTTGAACAATAGTCGCATGCCGAATCTGTGATTTGTAGCTTTCAAAATCCAAGTAATATAGCCCTACGAAAAAAGTGCCAAAAAATTACGATAATGCCAGCAAAAAAAAAAAAAAAAAACCCAAATTGTTGCTTAATGGACTTAATCGTCTGTGGAGAATAGGATCCATAGTCTTCACCATTGGCGGAGAATAGCCTCGGGTCGAATCCGTGATCCGTAGCATTCAGCATTCTGGAAAATCGCCAGAAATCTGTGATGCTACCCCTTTGCAATCTTCCAAAAATTGACCTGGAACAAATCCGCCCAAATCGATGCATAAGGGACTTAATCATCGTTGAAGAATAGTTACAGGCCGAATCTGTGATCTGTAGCATTCGAAATCAAAGTAAAATGGTCCTTCGAAATAAAAACCCGTCAAAGAATTACGAAAATGCCATCCGAAAATAAATCACCCCAAATTGTTGCTTAATGGACTTTATAGTCAGTGGAGAATATGATCCATAGACTTCATGATCGGTGAAGAATAACCTTGGGCAGAATCCGTGATTCGTAGCCTTCAAAATCGAAAGAAAATGACATTTCGAAAAATCGCATGAAATCTGTGTGGTACCCCTTTGAAATCTGCCAAAAATGGACCCGGAATAAATCCGCCCAAATCGGTGCTTAAGTTACTTAATCATCGTTGAAGAATAGTCTCAGGCCAAATCTGTGATCTGTAGCTTTCAAAATCCAAGTAAAATGGCACTTCGTAAAAAAAATGGCCAAAAATTTACGAAAACACCATCAGAAAACAAATTACCCCAAATTGTTGCTTGATCGACTTAATCGTCGGTGTAGAATAGGATCCATAGACTTCACCATCAGTGGAGAATAGCCTCGGGCCGAATTCGTGCGATTTGGGCGGATTTATTCTGGGTCAATTTTTGGAAGATTCCAAAGGTGTACCATTATATATTTCGAGCGATTTTTCCGAAATGCCATTTTCTTTCGATTCTGGAGACTGCATATCACAGAATCAGGCCGAGGCTATTCTCCACTGATAATGAAGTTTATAGATCCTATTCTCCACTGATGATAAGTCCATTAAGCACCGATTTGGGCAAATTTATTCTCGGATGACATTTTTGTCATTTTTAGGGGAACGAAGGCCATTTTCTTTGTATTTTGAAGGCTGCAGATCACAAATTTGGCATGAGGTATTCTTCAACGATAATTAAGTACATTAAGCACTGATTTGCGCGTATTTATTCCTGGTCAATTTTTGGCAGATTCCAAAGGGGTACCATCACAGATTTCGGGCGATTTTTCCGAAATGCATTTTCTTACGATTCTGGAGGGTTCAAATCACGAAATCAGGACGAGGCTATTCTCCACCGATAATTAAGTCTATTGATCCTATTCTCCACGGATGATAAGTCCATTGAGCACCGATTTGGCCCAATTGATTTTCGGAAGGCATTTTCGTAATTTTTGGGCTACGAAAGGCCATTTTCTGTGGATTTTGAAGGTTACAAATCACATATTCAGACTGAGGCTATTCTTCAACGATGTTTAAGTTCATTAAGCACCGATTTGGGTGGATTTATTCGGGGTCAATTTTTGACCGATTCCAAAGGGATACCATCACAGATTTCGGGCGATTTTTTCGAAATGCCATTTTCTTTCGATTATGGAGGGTTCAAATCACGGAATCAGGCCGAGGCTATTCTCCATCGATAGTGAAGTCTATTGATCCTTTTCTCCACAAATGATAAGTCCATTAAGCACCGATTTGGGCCAATTAATTTTCGGATGACATTTTCGTAATTTTTAGGTTGACGAAATGCCATTTTCTTTGGATTTTGAAGGCTACAAATCACGAATTCGGCCTGAGGCTATTCTTCAACGATGATTAAGTCCATTAATCATCGATTTGGGTGGATTTATTCCGGGTCAATTTTTGGCAGATTCCAAACGGGTACCATCATAGATTTCGGGCGATTTTTCCGAAATGACAATTTCTTTCGATTCTGGAGGCTACAGATCACGGAATCCGGCCGAGGCAATTCTCGACCGATAATGAAGTCTATTGATCCTATTCCCACGGATGATAAGTCCATTAAGCACCGATTGTGCTAATTTATTTTCGGATGGCATTTTCGTCATTTTTAGGGAAACGAAAGGCCATTTTCTTTATATTTTGAAGGCTGCATATCACGGATTTGGCCTGAGGCTATTTTTCAACAAAGATTAAGTCCATTAAGCACCGATTTGGGCAGATTTATTCTAGGTCAATTTTTAGAAGATTCCAAAGGGGTACCATAACAGATTTCGGGCGATTTTTCCGAAATGCCATTTTCTTTCGATTTTGGAGGGTTCAAATCACGAAATCAGGCCGAGCCTATTCTCCACAGATAATGAAGTCTATTGATCCTATTTTCCACAGATGATCAGTCCATTAAGCACCAATTTGTGCCAATTTATTTTCGGATGACATTTTCGTTATTTTTTGGGTGTCGAAAGGCCATTTTCTTTGGATTTTGAAGGCTATAGATCACGGATTCGGCCTGAGGCTATTCTTCAACGATGATTAAGTCCATTAATCACCGTTTTGGGCGGATTTATTCCGGGTCAATTTTTCGCAGATTCCAAAGGGGTACCATCACAGATTTTAGGCGATTTTTCCTAAATGCAAATTTCTTTCGATTCTGGAGGCTGCTGATCACGGAATCAGGTCGAGGCTATTCCCCACAGGTAATGAAGTCTATTGATCCTATTCTCCACGGAATCATCGCCAAAA